TTAGAATACATTGCGTTAAAATTATGCTATGTACGGGATATAATTTCAAAATACAAATATTGTTTAAACAATAAACAAATAAATAATCAATTAATTTCATGTTAATTACTATGACATAAACATCCTCCATAATTTAAATGATCATTAATGCGAGTTTCTGTCGGTGTAATCTAGTTCAAAAATGGCACATCATGCTGTGGATAGCATATCTGTTTTCTTGAAGTTAATAGCGACTCCCTGTTTAATTGCATGATAGATCTCAAGTGCCTCGAGGTATTTGAGTTGTACTTTATCCGACACCATGTGTAACAATTTTGCATTCTGTAGTTCAACCCAGATGTCCTCATTACCCGCATACATCGCTAACACCGTAGTTGTCAGCTTTTTTTCTTATGGAATATCCATGTTCCTTCATCCTCATGACAAAACCTTTTGACATAAACCCCTGGAGAGTATGAGTCATGTATATAGTTTTTATCCTTTCTGATAAGAGAGAAGATTGTTGGAGAGTGTCAATATGCTACACGCACCTTAGTTGTCCTGGCAATTTCTCTATATATATTAGAAAGTGTTTCATTGTATGTGATAACTTTCATTCTTCTTGTATAATAGTTCTGTTCCCCTTATTTATATATTGTTTTATGAGATGTTTGACCAAAGAGGACAGGAATCCATGCTGTTGCTAGGACCTGATCCAAGACAATTTGTTTTCCTTTTCGCTTTGCTCTGAACAATGTGTGTGGACCTTTTTTTGCCAGTGATCAAAAAGCAGAGACAATAAGGGTCATGTGAAAGGTTAGGTATAAATACAGGTGAATATGACTCCTTATGGAAAACACAGGTGAACAGATCATCATGCTCCATTTTTGATGTTGATATCCAAACAATGTACTATTTTGCTAGCAGTTTGTACCCAAGGATGTCTATTTCACAGAAGAAAACATTAGTAAATTTTTCACTTTCTTTTCATATTCTGGTATTGGTTTTGTGAGTGGTGTATTCAATCTTTACATGAATATAGTTTTAGAATTACAGCAGTGTGTCGATTATCCGAGTGCCGATCAACCGAAACGTTAGTTAACCGAAAGTGTTCCAGTCGGACTGTGTCATGCTAAATTGAATGTTTTTGATACTAGATTAACTTCTAAAGTATAATTTTTTTTGTTTTTATATTTTTCAATATATTTATTTTGTTTGTACAAAGTAAAGAAATAATTTTTAAAGATACAATAGCCACGGTTATTATTATAAAAATTTTTGTTAGGCTTAACATCGATGAAAATTCAATGCAAAGCGACACACAACGGAGAAAAATTTAAACATGGGATATATTAATATACTATTATTGGGATATACTAATATACTATATTAATAATGTATTTTTTCGTACATAATCGGTTATCCGAAAAATCAATTTTTCCCAGTCCCCAATTTATTCAGATAATCGATGCTCTACTGTAGTTTGCTCCTAGACATTTTTATTGCACCTCCTGCATGTTTTAATTTAAGACAAGTACATATTAAATATCATCCGTAATCAGCTGCACCAGCTTCAGTACAATCAAATATTTTTGAGGACTGGAGTTAAAAAATACTGCCCTAGACAATTGCGTATAATGTCTTGTGGTAAAACTGTTTAGATGCTTATACCCAAGATAACAGGTTTACCAAACTAAGACATTTTATTTGATATTTTAAAAATAAATCTGTCTTATATACAAAGAGAATAATCTAATACCACCTATTTTGTATTGTAATTAATTACGTAACTGAAGTGTTTACACAAATTAGAAATGATGCATAACAGGAATTTACTTTTGTGTGTGTCATTATATTTTATCAGCTGACAGTGAACTGATAAAATATACAGTATATCTGAGTTGTGTGTCATTTATCAAATTCAAGTTTAAGTAGAGTACATAATAGCTATTTTAATAAATTTTAAAACAAAAATAATAAAGTTTATATACTATTTTATAAATCAGTCATTAAAAAAAATAACAATCAATTCAAAAATGTCATTGTAACACTACTGTACATAGATTCATTTTTCTTTTTGAAACTTTGCTTCAACCTGTCATTTTTAAACAAAAATACTCTAGAGTTTATTTAATTTCAAATATTTTACTCTAAAATATAAAAACATGTAACTACGTTCTTCAACTTTTAAAAACTTTAATATTGACATTACAGACTTACAGCCGGAATGCACTTCACTCGCTCAAAAGTGTTAAAATGTCAATAATGTTTTTGTTCTAAGAAACCAGTTGTATTTTACTTTAACTATATTTTCAGATGTATAACGTGTTTTCATTTTTAGGTTTTAAAACCATAAAAGAAAAATTAAAATCTAAATCATCATTCAGAGAATTATTTCTTATGTATGATTGCTGACGAGTCATTAAACGCAAAATACTCTGCAGATAGGCATTTTAAAATAAAATTAACTTGAAGATTAAGATTAACTCAAACAATTGGTTCTATAAATTATTCATTTGAAATCAATGTTATATAATGATTTGCAACATCTCTAGCATTAATTTGTAATTAAAAAGAATTGTTTTTAGTTATTAATTGATTAACATCCTGTAATCCTAAAGTATATATAAAATATATGAGCATAAGTAGCAGATAAAGAAATAATCTCCAAAAGACTTTTGATTAAGAAATTATTTACAAATTTTATAATTAGCACTTGCTAGTAATTTAAAAGAGAAAGGAAACAAATGTTTCATTAATAGTAATAATAATTTCAGTTATAAAGAGTTATTAGAGTATAAATTTAACAAAAATCCAGTATTGTTTGCTTAATATTTTAACATATTTGATGTTAAAAAATGAAAATTTTTTCTATACTAAAATTTGTTTTATTTTTATAATAGCATAAAATGCATTTAAACTGGTTATAAAAATAATAATTATTATATAGGAGAAACAAAGAGATTACCCAAAAGACGAGTAAAAGAACATCAGGCAACTATCCGATTGAGTACTGTGACGTAACAGTGGTATTTTCATTGTAGCAGAAAGAATATTGTTAAGAAAAACATTAAAGAGCATTTTTCAACAATAAATAAAAAAATATAAATGATATTAATTTAAATAATGGCATTAATGTTGACGAATGTTGGGATAGATTTGTAGATATACACTGAATTGTATCACTGAAGAGGCAAAAGCATCATCATTTTGGTGGAATGCATATGATAAGTAATGTAGTTGTATAATGAAAGTGAGAATAAATAATTCCTTTTTTGTTATAGGTACTGTTTGAATGTGTTAATCATCTCTAAAAGTCGGAATAGGTTGAGTGTTTTTTGTCTCATGTTTTTAACAGTTTTTTTAATTTAAATTTCCGGCCTCATTATTTATTTTAAATTTTTTTAATTTTATTAAATCTTTTATAATTTTTTCACTTTATATCTAATAATATAATTTTTTCATTTCAAAAATCACTTCTGATCTTTTTTGTATGTGCTTGTATCTTAAAACAAACAAAAATTTCTTCTCTAGATGAAAACTTCATTGCAAATAATTCTCTTTTCTTAATAATTACAGTTTTATTAACCAATTAACTTTATGGCCCAGACAGTGGCATGAATCTTAACAATAGCATCATTTTAGCTCTGCCAACTGTTTTATGTCCTGTGAACCTACATGTGAACCGTCACGGCATCCTCTTACTACTACAGTCTCCAAAATAATGCATAGCCTACAACGTGTATGATCTCACTAGAAATATAGAACAGAGGATTGCATCTTTGAAAGTAAAACTATCTGATAATTATATTCACATTTAACATTACAATCCAACAATACAATAAACAAGCAATAAAAACCAGCCACTTATTCTAAATATTTTCATCTTTTTCATTAATTTTTAAAATGTTCTAAAAAAAATTCTGAAACACTTTTATATCTGAAGAAATATAAAAGCATTTAGAATAAATTAATAATTTTCTGCTCATTTAAAGCAACACGGCCTTTAATTATAATTACATTGTCAAGATTGTACTGCATAAAGTAAAATACAAAAATGATAACAACTAGAACTGCCAATTCTAAAAAAAAAATTGTTAAAGCACTTCAAGTATATGCCAAAACCCATGGGGGAATTTTATATTTAACAATAAATTTTTTGTTTTTGTTTGTATAAGGCAATGAGACAGATAGGCGATCAGCCGAGAGAAGTGCCTTTGGGAGGGCATACTACATAAACCAGTCCTTTATTTAGACATTACTAATGTGAAGAAAACCTGGAAAACTCCACAAGGCAAGGCACAAACCCAGATCAACTGTTAACATTTGGCGCTTTATCCACTCGGCTACCTGTGGCCCTTTAACAATAAGTCTTTATTGGATACAATTACACCTCCAAACAAAACAGTTGGAACTTTATCAGAGTCGTAGACCACACCCATAAAAGATAAAAGTCAAAGAAATCGTGAATCTACATGCCAACCTCGACCAGATACGGCCCACTTCCGGATCACCCGACACCGGAAGTCACATTGCTCCACCAAAACCATCGCATTTAACAATTTAGCTCAGGCGACCACACCGGCTTCGAATAGCCCAGTAAAAAGCAACCTCTGAAGGCATATACTTCACAAAGGGACACATACGGGTACGGTTCCATTTAATTTTTGTTCATACACGGGGCAATAATCCCTTATTCAGAGTTCACATCTCAGCCTTCACCAATTCTAAATTAACACACGCATTTGAATATAATGGCTGAAATAATAATAATGAGTATAAAATAAACATGATCAATATAATTCATTTAAAGGTAGAAGTTAACTTTAGATCATTCATTTACAATGTTTATACATAGAAAACACCTAAAAGTAACTTCTTCCCAATTGATTTATAAATTAAATAATTTTTCAAATAAACAAATAGTATTTGAACTTAATTATTGTTTAATGCAATTAATTAATAAATATATATATTAAATAATTTCAAATGAAAGCAATCTTTTCTGCAAAACAACTTACATTTAATATCTATCAGCTAAGATTCACCTAATATCTACAAAGCAGATTTATTTCCTTTTCTAATTTATTAATTGTTTGAGAAAATGGAAAAAAGTTCGCTCATTAAAGATTTTATAATTATCTTTAAGAGAATCGCTCCTTTCTACACAAACAACCATTAATACACGAACTTCTCAACACTCGACATCCGCCATCTTTGATGATGAGCCTCACGTTTGGTTTTTGGAAAATCGTCATGACATAATATTACTAAAAAATCTAATATTTATAGCAAATATTATTTTATTATTTAATATAATTCGATAAATAAAATTAAAATATAGTTTAATTTATTACATAGGTTATATAATACTAAATCACGTGATGTCAACAATGATAGAATATGGAAGATGAATTTTGTAAATACAGTAATAAAAAAATGTTTTTAAATTCATTATTTCTGTAAATTTTTGAAAAAAAAATATTTTTAAACGTTTATAAATATTTTTATATATTCAAATAAAATTATTAATTTAGTGCATTAATGCACTAAATTAATTTGATTATATTCAGATTTAAATATTTTTCAAACATATTTGAATTTGAAAATATTATATTATAATATATTATAAATAAATATAATATTTAAAAATAGTTATATNAGTGTCACAATTGCCCACCAGAGTACTATTTACGAAAAGTTGTGATTAGAAATCTGAAATTAATTATTAAATTAATAAATTAATTTTTTGTAATATTTTTCATTTTAAAAATATTAACAAAATACTTTCTAAGAAATTTTCGCCGTGTTATTTTTACATATAGTATTTTATTAATAAATTATTTTAGATTGTCATCCCTCTAGTGGCCGATTACACAACACATTTAATTAGCAGAATAAAATTTGTTTTATTAACTTTATTTTAGATTAATTATATTTTAATATACTATAATAACATTTAGAAAAGATAATAATATTTTAAAAATTATAATTTATTTGAAAATAAAAATCTGACATTTAAAATTCAAATACTTATTGCAACTCTGATGATTCGGGTTCGAGTGCGAGTGGGAATTTTTTAATGAGTGAATTGATATAGATAAGTTAGCTTTGTTTCTTACGACGGATCTGCACAAAAGGCTCTTTTAATGCCTGCGGAAGGGAAAAAGTTAGGAATATTCGAATTTCATATAAAAATATTCGATTAAAAATTAAATATCTTCAAATTTTTCAATTGTATTTTATTACATCACATAGAAATTATTACAAAAGATTGTTACGAAACAATCTTTTGTACTACGAAACATAAATTTTTAAAAAGCTTTTAATGGTTACATTTCGTGTCCGTATTTATATTACTATATTACTATAAAAATAGCTGTATAAGTAGAAAGTAAATATCGATAGACTTATGCATATACAAACTCGTGCACGCACAAAAGTACACGTAAAGATATAAACTGATTAGGCTACATATACTCTTTACCACTACCATACAGGGAGAAATAGTACGTACGTATAAGGTTTTAAATTATGGTGAGAAAAAATCCTGCATACCAACTGAATAATAATTTTTAAAGTAGATTTAGTTGATAAATAAGGCATTTGGGGATTATACTTTATTTAAAATTAATTTATTATTTTTTAATGCATTCAAAACACTGCGTCATTTGTTCCAGTATTTTTATCGTCATTCCAAATATCTACCGATCAACCCTTTCTTTCCTGCAGGCAGTAAAAATCCATTTTCCATCCAGGCTTATAATGATACGAACGTGTGATTTGATACTTGAACTCTATGGTTCAGGTATCAAATTCAAACTCTTATTCCGGAGATAATGCTGCAAAGATTTGTGTTTAGTTTCAGCCTAGAAGTTTGTTTCGAATGCCTCTACTATTAATAGAAGCTAGTTTACTGTCTCGTTTTTATAGAGAGATTTGAGAAAGGTACAATGCGTCATGCCCAACGAAGTGGCAAAGGTACAGTACAGTGTTAAGTCTATGGGACAAACATGGAGTTCTAGTCTCCTCTTAACCTTAGGTGAAGCAAATTTTTTTGTGTTTTGCATTTTCATTATTGTAAATACCCAGGTCAATAAATGTACTGTACATGTTAGTTACTAAGACCATTGTTTTTATCATTTTCTCCCAACCCAACCTCACCAACTTCCCCCTCAAAAGCCCGAGTAACACCGAACACACATAGAAAGCTAAAATATAATTTTTAATACGATTTAATTAATTGTTAAGAATAATGTAAAATTTTCGAATTATCGTATTAATTCGGGTATGTACCTTGCTGCACTGATGACGAAAACTCGGAAGAAATTACTAGGAGGAAGTTACTTTGTTGTGGTATGGTTATTTCACTGTAGCGATGGCTGGTGTGTCGATACCTAAACATTCAATTCATCTCACGCAGCGATCCATATCTCGCCTCTTTTCCGTTACCAGGAAGAAAGGATGATCAATAAACGTCCGAGTTTTTCATTATACACACACTAACTAATTTGCATATTTAGATGACTTAATTTATAGATTAATCTAATTCAGAAGTTTTAATTACGGAACAGAATACCCGAAAATTCCCACTTGCGCAAAGACTAATACTACAATTTAGGACAATTTGGAATGGCTGTAGATTCATATAGCGCCTGCATGAACCGGAAATGTAACACACCTAATTTTTGAGAATAATTTTTGGAGACACGGAAGGTCGTCTGTGTTAATTTTTACAATTGTAAAGTGAATAAGGATGATTATTACGCAGTAGCGATTCTTGTATTTATAATACATGATATTTCTCTCGAATATACCCGATTTTAATTCGCCATAAAAAATGAACAATTTAAGTTATATGAAGGTAATAAGTGACAACTGATGGGAAAGATTGTCGGATGGCCGAGCGGTTAAGGTGGCGGCCTATCAGAAGCCAAGCGGTTCCATTCCTTCGAACACTGGGAGTTCGATCGTGAGTTCGCGCCTCTGCAGGACGTTTTTAGGGTTTTTTCCACGTCTGTAACGCTTGAATAGAGACCAGTTACCTTTAAAAAAACCTACCGGAAAGTATTTTCCCTATGCAGATCGTCCAAATGTTGCGTTATCATAACTTATCGAACAAATCATTATGGGTTTGGCTGGATCTACAATGGGCAGCACTGGGTGGTGAGGAATAGGGTTCAACACGCGTTTGTTTGTTTGTTTAAATAAAAATGTGTTACTATGAAAAAACTTTACCAAGAATTCAAAATATAATTAAGTTTGTTAACCAGTAAAGTCTTTTTTTTTTATTTTTTAAAAATTGATTAAGGTAAATGTTATTCTTTTGTAATTAATTTGAAAGAACTTGGCTTTTCTGCGATATTTTTTTCGTTAATTTTGTAAAAATCAATAATGCTTATTTCCATTAAAACAAGATGGCGCTGCAAGAGCGACTATTTTAGCGGCCTTTCTTACCACTTCCAAATGTCTATCAGTGAATTTGGGCCGTTATTTATTGTCGTAACTAGAAATGTAATTTGAATGTCTGATGTTTATTGTCAACACGTTTCTATAGAAAACAGTAATACAAATAAAGAAATATACTGTGAATGACGAGATAACTTACTGTATATCAACGGGATTCTTGAATATTTGCAACCAGGTTAAAATGAGCTTAACGTTTAACGATGTTTATATTAATGCTGTAGATTTTACAGAACAAAGATCCAGAAGTTCATATTCCTCATAGCATCTCCAGCAATTAAGGTATCCAGAGTTAATCGGATGGCTATGGAAAGCATTAATTGTTTCCTAAACAATGGGCACAATTCAACAACACCTAGAAGATAAGAATAAATTCAGACTTGATACTTTATATCCATTGTTAATTCTTTCATGTTCGTTGAATTGCGCCCGTTTACTGTGTTTGAAAACATCTAATGAATTTCGTGACTCCAATTACCTTTGGATTTTTTGAATGTTGGAGATGCTGTGAGGAATCAAACCGAAATCCAAAGGTGTACCCAGCGAGGGGCAGCTGCCTCTCCCTAAAATTAAAGTGTAGTAATTCACACAGAGCACAGACGTATTCAAAATAGAATCTACCCCGCATTCTAAAGTGTAACGGTGCAGATAATTGGTTCTTTTATGTAGTTGTAAACGTCATCGGTTTAATTGGAATAATAAGAAACATTCTTTCCCTCGAAAGTAGCTCTCAAATTTAAGATCTTCCTGGGGAAATATTTTGATGTTTATCGATTCGAATTCGTGCCCGAAACCAGTTTCAATATTTTTCAATCTTTATGAATGATTTCGGGTCTGAAATTTCGTATTTGGATTTGAAATTTACGCAACTGCAACAGGAATTCTACGAATATAATCGTGCTTGCAATAGCAACTGCGGGATCAAAGCTTGGCACACGCGAGTCATCTTACCTTACAAAGATTTTAAGTAAAAATTTAAATAAAAATCATTACAATTTTACAAGAAAATTAAAAATATCGTGTTATAACGGCTAGATCACATTACATAAACATTCATTCAATAATCTACTCTGATTAACAATAATACTACGAGACACGATACCATTGCATGTACCGTAACTATGACATACTATACACTCCATGTTGTCACACGCCCACTTTATTTATTTATTAATTTGTCTCCCTTTATACGTTATTTTAGTATAAATAAAATTAAATTATTCTTTTCCCAGTTTAACGACGACGTCGACACATTAAGTGCAGTTCTAGATGCTACTGCAAACACGATCTAGAACATACTACATACATGAAGTGACGCCATGTACGAAGAAATTTGAATACACGTCCGCCATTTTTCTTTTAGTCAAGGGGACGAACCATTTGTGTTGTATAAAGGCAACGCGTTGATCGTTGCCACCGAGAGTGCTGTAAAAATGGGCATTGCCACTCTACGTATTATATTCTACTTCGTTTGCTGCAGCTTATACAAAATGTTAAAGTCCTCTAAGTACGGTTATCTGCCGATGAGTCATCGTTAGAAGTGAGAAAGTCCGATTTCACAATGAAGATATTAATGAATTACAGTGCAATACCTATGATGTAATATTTCCTGTGTAATTCGAGTCATTGTAAACGTAATTGAATTTTCAATTCTTCGTGTCTTCAGGCTTCTATATGTAAGTGGACTTTCGCTGCTTCTCATTCCTGAAGAAATTCTGTACGACAAATCGAGGATCGTGACGTCACACAGCAACTTCATCGAACAAACTGCAGTGAAATGTGTTGTTTTATTAAATTAACTGTGCAACAACACACTTTACAACACTGTGCAACAACGAAAGTCCTCTGTGATGACGAAATAACTAGCTATCAAAGTTCATTATTTAATTGTGTTCAAGGTTAGTCGAGATTAAAAAAAGCCCCTGTTAACGTCACAAGTTTGAAGGACTAATTTCATTGTAAATTTTCCAATGCCTCTAACAATTTCTTATTTTATTACCAGGAAAATATTTAATTTATTAAAATAAAACTGATTTAAAAATATAGTGGCAAGTTACACGCAAGCCACATTGTTCAGATTTATGTTTTGTATTATTTTAATTTTTTTTATTTTATACGTGAATTAATTAAATTGCAAAAGTTGAAGGGTTTTCTGGTCAGTAAAGAAGAATCCCAGAATACCCCACACGACTACCAAAACCACCCGAGGATTCGAACCCGGTTAAAACCTCCATAATTTGCAATACGGATCGGAGAAGCATTGGCGTAATGAACATAAATATGGCCGCTGTAATAAGGCCTACTACACGCTGCCGTCTGGAGCCAATGAATCAAACTAAGCCGATAATTACTTAAATGAACTTGTGTTACGTAATAATGGCTCCTGGAATAAACGAGAAACGGGAGAGGCGCATCATTTTCTGAATATTAAGTTTGTATCTTGTTACGAGGGTGATGAATCGAGGCATACTTTCCCGCCAAATAAGGAAACATTTCGTGTTTATTTACTTAAATGTGCACGTGTATGTATGAAGTCACAAAACACGTCACACGTAGTACTTCACACGTAGTTTACGTCACGTGTAGTGACACCATACGTAGCTCACGTCACACGTAGTGCACACCACGAAAATATCGTTTAATTGTATTTATTTAAGGGTAATAAAATTTGTAACACTAACGACAAGACTGCAAGACTTGACCGATGAGGGGACAGCAACACGCATTATCCACCATCTCCCCCTCAACAGTTTTAACTCGTTGTACATTAATATTATTTAATTAAGCAAATTTTCAATCGATTTTGACACAAACCGCTTCCTTTTCTTTATGAATTATTGCCGCTGACTCGCTCAATACACGTTAATACAATTATTGATTGTTGTGGGAAATTTTCCATTGTATTAATAGAACACGCGTGACGAGTAAACCGCTAGCGGCACTCGCTAAAAACGGGGTGTCGGAATCGATTGTAAATATACATAATTAATGTGTATTAATTTAAAACTAACGAATCGTGTGTTAATCTTTTATAATTTTTTTTTAAAGTCGGTGAAGCTGATATTTATTTTGAGAGGCAAGGTTAGACTAATGACAGCTGAAGCCTGTCTTTGGAGTAGTGTTGCAAATTGTATTGTCGTTGGAAAGATTAAAAATAAAATAATTTTGTAAGTGTTGCGTGAAACGTTTTCGACAGCGCACTAGCGAAGACAATGGCTTAGTGCAGTGACGCATAAATAAGCGCGCGCTTGTGTTTTTCTATGTACACCTGTGTTTGTACGCTTGTGGGACGTACTGTACATACATAAGAGTGCGCTTCAGACGTTTAAGAAACGAATAAACTGTTGTATTAAAACCAACAATTTTAATGCTCTTTAATGGACTTTTCTAAAAAAAAATGAGAAAGTTTGTAAGCAGAAAATCTCGTTTAAATGAGTTTTAATTGTATTGAAGCTATGAAAAAAACTTTAGCAAACGGATTCGTAAGGATTCTCATTGTCTCGCATATTATTCAGCTGAATGACGGTTGTATTTTTAGCAAAAGGAACATCCAGAGTCAGGACGGAACTGTTTGACACGCCATCGATACTGTCGTAAACGTGATAAGCGGATATCCGCGATCTACCGGTGCTGCTGCCACTACTTTTAATCTTCTTCCTGAACGACAAATAACGTCTCTCGTACCTAAACAAATTGACAAATCTCTTTCGCGTGAAGCTCCCCTTGCGACGTCTTTCGTCTTTATGATACTTTATGCTGTTCCTCCAATTATCTGCAAATTCTTGGCAATATTTTAGCAAATTTTGCGTGGAAGAATCGAAGCGAGTCGCCTGTAGAGTAACGTTGGAATCCAAGTTGGTTTCGAACAGTATCGGTTCCTTATCGCGAAATTTCGATGCCAAAATAACAGTTTGCGGCTGGATGGTTTCTAGACGTATAATTTTACTAAAATCTTTCATATCTTTCGGATATCCGGTTATTAACAACGTCACTAATGGTAGCTGTAACTGCTCCTGACGTAGCAGATCCGATATTCTGAAGAGGTGATTATGAGTGAATTCGTATTTGTTAGCCACCATATAAAACCTCCCTAAAGTTTCGTGAGGTAGTAGAACTAATTTCCCATCCTTTCTCGCGCATTTAGCGTATCTTTTAGGCTCCCTTTTATATAATCTCCCCCTATAACTCTCGTAAGTTCTGATGTACCTCAGCACTTCTCCGCCGTTAATCTGCAAGTATACGTGGATAATGAGCTAATTTAGAAAGAATTTTTCCTTAATTTAACTGAATTTCCCGTAAAATATACTTTCGATTGTACTTACGACGATTTTTTTATACTTTTGTCCTCTTTTCCTGCATGGGAAACGTTGGTATCCATTAATTGTGTCACGTACGAGGAAGTGAGTCACTCCCGCTTCGGCAATTTGTCGAATATTAAGAAAATACCCCGCTGTTTGGCCGTCTCTAGTGATCATGGCCATCCAACCTAAAATATTCTTTAATTAGTACAAAAATTACGCAGCAAAATAACGTGTTTTATCAGTTGTGTAACATTTAAACTCTCACCTCACAGTCGATTTGTGTACACTTTTACAGCTCTACTTTAAACCGTTGGCCAGTTATAAACGATATTTGAATGTTAAATATTTAAATTAGCATAAATCAAGGTTAATATAAACACCGAAAACAAAGAATTTTTTATACTAATGATATATTGTTTTCTATTTAGAATAGCCTTCAACTTCAATATCAGCGCGCGGTGTTTTGGCATTAAGCACCCCCAGAGCACGATTTTCTTTACGAGACGTGATCTAAACCAAGGTTTTTTAGTATTAATTATAGCTCCAGGTTTACAAAATACAGTTTTTTCCTCCTATAACTTTCATTTTATTACTTAACACCGGCTTAAATAAGGTTTATATAAGAGAAATCCGTGAATATATCAAGACTTGGCACAGTTTCGTGGGGCGATCGAACTGTTTTACACATACATTTCTAATTATAAAATTTAAAATTTTACAGTATTAAGTATAGAAAAATGTATAAAATATACTGGAATTTTACTCACCGGGAAACGTCTCGGGTATAACAATAGGAGGACCCACGGATCTAATTCTTTCGGCTCCATCACGATCCAGGACGTGACCGTGAAATTTTAGATAAGTGTAACATTTAAATAACAATATTTTCGACAATTTCTCCTCACTTTTCTGTATGGCAGCTTGTGGCAGTCTGTAATTTTGTAGGAACTGTCGGGGAGTTAACATGGCAAATGGTTAAATCGTATATGCTCCTCTCAGCATGATAAAAGATTCGTCACGTCATAGCATTCACTTTCTCTCAAATATACCGTTCTGTCCTTCAAATTTTCTACTATTATCTCTCACTATCTATACGTTTCTCCAAGGTTACACCCCTGTTTCGTCTCGTCTATTGGTCAACATCTTGTTTCACAACATTATATTTGTATTATAAACTAATTAATAAATAGTGACCCTCGAATTAAACACACTTAGAGCTTTAATTAAGCGCTTAGACTATGTACACAGGTAAATATTCATATATAAAGCTTTAATTTGAAGAAAGGATAAATATATTTTCTGTCTTATAAAAGAAAAAAAAAATTATTTTGAAGCGTAACTGGAAGACAATTAATTTACATATTCGGTATAGGTACACCAAATGTATTGTTTCAATTATACAAATGTAATTAATGAAAGATGCGGTTTAAATAAATAAATATTAATTACTAAATTACAAAAGTATTGTGAAGATTATTGATAGGAATTGAGGAAAATACAGTAAGCTCCCCCTGAAAGAATGCTTTCTACAAATTGAGTTTTCCTCCTTTAAATTGAGAAAAGGGAGATTGTGGAGGAAGCAAAAGGCTCGATACACTCGGGTACTGGTAAGCTTGCTGAGGATAGAGACAACCCATCTCTCTAAGAGAAAGTACTCAGATAGAGTGAAAAGCTATCGAGATTGAAGATATGACATTCCAATCTTTAAGAATCAACATTTGTTCTCTAACACTTGATAAAACCCAATTCTTACTTTCTACTCTACGTTGTATGGATAATAGCATTTACCTATGATTTATGGATAACAGTCTCTAACTAAAATCTGTGGTCAAGCTCCAAAAGATCCAATGGCCTCCTTCAAGGTGTCTCGACCACAGATCGTAGGTAGAGACTCTTTATCGATAGATTACAGGTAGAGACTCTTGGAGGGCCTCAAAAACACTATCCATTGTATTTCTTGTAGGAAACAAAAACTCCCGACGACCATCATCCGAATGTATTTACATTCATAATCTCCTGCCTCTTCATATTAATCAATTCTTCAGAACGATCAATTTACCAGGAATGGTACATAAAAATCACGTCTCATCCTTCTTCCTCTTACTCAAATTTAACCCAAGTTCACATATTAAAACCTATTCGAATTAAATCCCAAATTCAACTTTAAGGATATTTAATACGTTTAATTACTTAACTATATTTATAAATATTTTTATTTAAACGAAGTAATAAATGGGTCAGTAGAGAACAACTTGACCACGAAAATGCAATTTCGACATCATTATCTTCATTAATGTTTGTGAGAAAGGAAGAAATCTTGCATAAAATCAAGAAAATTTATGTTTAAACTATTAAAAACTAAAAGGAAAATAAAGTAAAATATTTAAGATTTTAATTAATATATATATATTTTTTAAATAAGAAAGAAAATCTGTAACCAAAACGCAAAGGAAATTGGCAGAAAAATAATAATAAAATTAGCAATCGATCGGCTAATTGCTCTGGAGGAATTTGTGAATTTTTTTTAATTTTTTGTGTTTTTAATAAAGAGGTAAAAATGCGAAAGAATTAATTATTCAAGGAAGAAAACCGCCGCCATCGAAACTGTTGATATTTTTAAAAGGCGTACTCTTGATCAATAATTTATTGATTGAGTGGTTGTAGCTTCTGAAGACACTCCGATTAGTATCAATTCGAGAGAATGTAAGAAGCTGAGAGCTATTTCGAGGCCTTCTACCTCATAAAACCCACTATTTTAACCATTAAACTTCGATACATCGTCTACATTAAGGTGACAGGTAAGAATTTCGTTATATTTTTAACCGATAAGATTCCCGTATATAACGCCATTTTTTTAAAAAGAAATTACCATTAAAGCGGGAGTTAAAAATAGATTTTCTTATTGTTTTAAATTTCGATTGTTGACATTTCTGTTTTTGTCATCCTTAACCGCTTTTAAAATACATTTTTTTAATTAAATTATTTAATTATCTAAAGGAAGACATTAATTTATTTGTTAAACGATTAAAATTAATAATTATAATTATTTTTTAAGCTATACTTTGGTACTAGTAACCACTCGAAAGGTGACTTACCTTTAGAGTAATGGTAGAAGATTACTCTACAGGTTCTCGTCTTTTCTCACGGTCGAACCTCCCAACGACGGTCACCTCTAAATGGCGGCCATTTTTTATGTTCCTTTCTGCGGACGTTTGACTGTGTCTTTGTAAGAGTAATCACACCGAAGGAGAGTAGTTTCATAGTAATACACATAATAATACACATAGCATGTAAATCGTCTTTATAGTAATATTATCACCGATTAAACCGTAATTTTATATAAATTATTGTATTTTTTTAATGATAGTTCATGGATTCCGCTGGAGAATCTTACTTAATTGGCGAAGATGTTCCACTGGAAGAGACCAGAATGGAGAGTTTATTCGAAGAGACGGCTACGAGAGAAGACAAAGAAAACGAATTGGCAATTATAGAGAACGATAAATGCCTGACGTTCTCAGAACTTCTGACGAAAATAAATATTTTAGCTTCTTATTTATACAGCAACTCGGACAAGAAGAGCGATAAAGTGGTGGGAATCTTCATGGACGTGTCAATCAGCAGCGTGATATCCATACTCGCTGTTTTCCAAATGGGTGCAACGTACGTACCACTCGACCCGCGATACCCGAAGAAGAGAATCGAATACATAAGTGAGAAGTCGAATATGTCTTGCATACTGACCACGACGTCCCATTTCACACTACTGAAGTCTCACCAGATTTACTTACCAATTTACGACGTGAGTGTCATTCTGCAACACTCTACGGAGATTAACGCAAAGTTAACGTCACGCAAGCGATCGCAGAACCTTTCCTGTCTTATTTTTACGTCTGGCAGCACTGGAAATCCTAAAGGAGTCAGGCTCAGCCATTATAACTTGTTAAACAGGCTGACGTGGCAATGGCGTAACTTTCCATTTGTTAGTAACGATAGAGTTTCGGCCATGAAGTCGTTAACCTTTATTGATTCTTTAACCGAATTTCTACCGGCTCTACTTAAAGGTGTAACTGTTGTTATTGTCCCCGCTTCTGTTAAAAACAACCCCAAAGAATTGTTAAAACTGTTCTGCAATTATAAAGTAACCAGAACTGTTGTGGTTCCTACGCTCCTTAACATGATCCTGATGCATCTGGCAACAGACCAGAAGTTAGTGCAGGATGTCAAAGTTAATTTATGGATTTCCAGTGGAGAATCTCTAACAAGAACTATTGTCTTCAAGTTCTTTCAGCACTTCTCCTCTACACTGGTAAATCTTTATGGCAGCACCGAAGTAATGGGTGACGTCACGTGCAAAGTAATCAGTTACGAATCGTCTAAAGACGTGGGTGACGTCGTATCCATAGGAAGGCCCATCGATAACACGGCAATATACATCCTGAATGAGAATCAGGATCTCGTTAAACATGGCGACTACGGAGAAATCTGTGTAAGCGGATTAAACGTAGCTTTAGGTTATAAAGGGATTTCTTCGGAGAAATTCGTCAATAATCCTCTTGTACATCTGGTAAATGACAATCATAAAATTCTCTACAAAACTGGAGATTACGGTTACGTACAGGAGGGTGAAGTTTACTACGTTGGAAGAGTGGACAATCAGGTTAAGATAAGGGGTGTCAAAGTTCACCTATCCGAAATTGAACTGGCACTAGAATCCATATCCATTATCTCTCAATCCGTAATTTGCTGCATCAACAGGGAGACAAATCCACAATTGGTATGCTTTTGCGTGCTTCATAAGAATGGTAACGTTGGCGACGTGATAGAGATCCTGAAGACCCTTCTACCATCGGAAATGATACCGAGAGTAGTGATAAAGAAGGAACTTCCCGTTTTAGTCTCGGGTAAAATCGATAAATTAGCTCTGGTGGAGGAATACCAGAAGAGTACGAAGTCTCACAGCAGTAACGAGATATTGAAGATCATTAACGACATTCTACAGTTGAAAATCGACGAGAAAATCTGCGAGAAAACCTTCTACGAATTGGGAGGGACATCAGTAAACGCGGTAGAAGCCTTAGCCAGGCTCCATTCTGCTGGTTATCCTATACAAAATCCTATGGTTCTAAGGATATTATCGTTGAACGAATTGGGGGAGTTGAGCAAGGATCATTTGAATTATTCTGATGAGAAGAACACTACCATGGATTTTAGAATGGAGGAAATTTCGGAGAAGATCGTGTTTGGTGACGTGGCAAAGGTCATAGCCGAATCGTTTGTCAATAAGAATGTATTGGATTTAATCGTCGAGACGAAAGTAGAGGACCACGTTTTGGTGATGGAGAGGATGTGGAAACGTCTGGTGGACGAGAAGTTTTCGTTTGTGGTAAAGAACAAACGGGACGATATTATTGGCGTGATGCTGAATTTAGACTTCTTCAACGAGCCGCAAGTGAGTTAATTAATTCTTAAATGAATTACACTAATTTAATTACAAAAATTTAGTAATATAAAACGTAAATTTCGTCAATAAATCAATCGATCTACAAGTATTTAGAACCAGTTTTAAGCCCACAATTCACCGTTCCGTGCAAAGACACACCGGATACAATTAAGAAATTTAACTAAGTTTTTCATTTCCTAAATATTTTGTATTAAAAAACCAAATAGATCGTAAAGTATATTCGCAGCAGTGACGATATTGCTTGCTCAAAGTTATGTTGCGAGTTGTATAATGTTACTCTCCTTAAATTTCGCTCAAAAATATCTACTTTATTTATTTATTTACACCAAACAATAGCTACATTTCCTACACACGAAGTTTTAAATTATAAAAACTCATCTCGTATCTCTTGTACTTAGGCTACTGATGTTGTAAGTTATAGCATATCCCAGGTCCTTCCCTTCTTCCAAATAATGATACATTTAAAAATATCAGGCCTTTAAGCTAAAGGGTCGTAAACTGTAATTTGTTTAGATCGTGAGCGAGTAGGACCCTAGCAGAATTACTCGTTCTTACCCTCAATGTTGCAATGTACTGTACCTCCTCGCAACTTCCCCTATAATTTAAGGACATTTGATGAACGAAATCACCAGAAAATTTCTTTCTCGTATATTTAGAATTATTTATAAATTTTCCCGATTAATTTCGAAAGAAATTTAATTATAAAAGCGTTTACAAATGAAATTTCCGTAATTAAAATTGAAATTACTCGAGAGATTACAGAATTACACTCGTGCTAATTACAATCGATTCAAATTTCTATTAGTATTAGAAGCATAAATTGTTGATTTTTCCGTTTTATATGAATTCCATGTTGTACGAGTCACTTAGATTTTACATATACGTGTGCCGGACTGTGAATGGCTCACGTATTTGTAAAATCTAAATGACTCGTATAACATGGAATTGATATAAAACGGAAAAATCAACAGTGTTATAGGGGGTCGACTGTATTATACTGACTTTAATACTAGAAAAAAAATGGTGCTTTTTATAATTCCTGTTTTAATTAAGCTTCAGAAAATGAAGCAGAACTACAATTTTTTTTTACTGTTGATATTTTGGCAAAGTATCAAAAATGATGTTTTAACAGCTGCTCACTTTATAAGAATAGAAAAATAAATTTGACATACCTGAAAATTTCATAGAAAATACACAAAGGCAATTACCATTTTCTAAGAACAGGACTGGCTTTGTTAAATTTGAATTTTAATTAACCGGAATAAAGAAAAAAAAACTAAAATTTTTAAAGTTTGATAATAACAGTTTTATATTCTAACATCCGAAGAAAACGAAGACAAAAAATGCCCAAAAGTCAGTTAACCGCTGTAAATACTAAACTACCCGCGACCGTCAACTGACTTTTGGGCCACCCTATATTTATACATAATAGAATAGCGTAGTATTACTATGACGAATACTTAAAATAATTTTTAATTTATATAATTTTGGTACGTTTTAAACGTTACGAAAGGTGGAAATTCCGGAAAGACTGTTGCCGATATATTGCATGCACGAAGTGTTAGAAGACAGTTCGAGGAAGAAGTTGCAGAGAAGTGGGAAGAGATGGATGCACAACATCATGTTAGCCACGGCGCTGTCTCTTTCGTCCGCAGAAAACGTTCAAGTCGTCATATACATGGAGAAACAACTCTTAACCTTTGCCAGATCTATAGGTTTCCACGGTGTTTTCACCATCAATTCTAGTAAAATTACTCAGGTAAGTGGGTTAATTAGTGTATAATTCGTAGGTTAACTGGTTAAATAACCCCTAGGTTCGAGGCATCTTAATTACGCATTACGCAGAGTCACCCAAAAGTCAGTTAACCGCCCTCAAACACCAAAACTATTGTTTGAATACGCAAACTACAACACTGAAAAAATTGCCAAACTTTTTGGCCAAAGTTACGGTTAACCGACATCCGGGCCACTACATTTTTGAGTAAATGGAGGAGGAAAAATCTACCAATTTTCGTGTTCGTGTTGCACGGTGATGGAAGTTAATATTACACACTATATCGGGGCATTAATTAAGTGAAATTAAATGAATAATACATAGTCTGAATGTGTATAAAACCTTTATAATGACTTACATAAACACACATCTTCACGCCCATTTAGCAGAATCCACTGGCTCTAACCAGTTCTTTACGATCCTCTTCATTCATTCTACCAACACGGCCATACCCATATAAGAATTTAATTCATTATTTCTTGTGTTATAGGTCATATGTGAAGAAATGTTGGGATATCAAATAATGAGCCAGTATAAAGTTCAGAACTACGTGTATCGAGGTAAAAAAGTGTTCGAAGAAGCACCCTCCGATGCCATTTTAAGCGCTTGTTATAAATATCTATAACCGAAACGTCACGTGTGTCGTGGTATTGTGTGTGTGACAGATCACGTGTTTCGTCATCTGTTATATTACGTTGAACTGTTAAAAGTTAAATTTTCGGTTGACCAATGATGAAATTTTGAGTTACTTTTTTTGAAATTCTTCAAAATTTGATTAATAAAGTGAACGTTTGAATGTGTTGTCTGTCTTATCTCTAATATTTCTTTTCTTATTTAGACTTATTTGTTTGAAGAACAATCCCAGTTGACATATTTGCAAGTTTATTTTGTGAAAATAATTGAAAATTTCCTTTATCTTTGCTCATCCTCATCTTTCATTGTTCGAAAACAGTTTAAAGATGGGAGGAACGAGCATGGTTTTCTACTGTTTCTTTCGTTAATTCTTCACCTCTAGCTTTTTCTTATCGGATCTTTTTACCCTTGTATACAAAATTATCATTCGTTACCATCTTTACTGATTCGTGTACTTTTAGTGCCACACTAAATTTAACACCAGATTTCAGAAGCGAACAACTGGTGACACTAAATCAAAGTTCGACGGGACGTATATTACAAATTTAGACATCCGTAGGCATTAAAATAACTGCCACTAGATGGTTTTAATATGGTAGATAGAAATTCTGCAAAGACTTACCAATACATCGCGTGCAGGAAAACGCCATATTTAAATTTAGTGCTCTCAGAACTGATAGCAATTACCTTACTAATACTACCCGACTAGTGTAGATCAATGAGAATTGCTGATTACCAGCAAGTGCCAAAAGATTCTCTCTGCCAAAAACCCCAATGGCACAACCCGAAACTAACAGAAGAGGCTTCGTACGAGTATTGTTTTACTCTACGTGGAGGAGTCTCTTCCGTGTTGGCTCCTGCACTCGCCACTGACTCCATAGAATTCCAGAAAAGACGCATGAGCCACGTATTTTCTGGAATTCGATGGATGGAACGAGACTACCATTTGGTTAAACGTCTGATTATTCCGCCATATTGAATTTGCCGCCGGTGGCGGCGTAACGTAAAGAAGTTTGGGTATATTTACCCTGAGTTTGGCTTGTTTTCTGACGATTTCGATGAAGTTAACATCGTCTACACGGCCATTAGACGCGCTGATTGGTAGATGCTTTAATGCATCGAGATAAGCGAGCCAATGACATAACCCGTTTGAAATGAAACGGATTGTTATTGGCTCGCTTATCTCGATGCATCGAAGCGCTTTACTAGGCAGGACGCCTATTGCTTCCGCCGAGATGCTACGCGTTTTGGCTAAATCAAATATGTTTTAAATCGAAACGTTGTCTTTACTTTGTGGCCATTTACTACCAACGGCAGATCATCCATTTTGGAAGTTACCGCGTGATGTAAATCAACCAATTAAAAAGCTATTATACATACGCATAGAATAGGATGGGCGCCATCTATCCGGGAAACTCCGAACTATCGCGACACTAATTTAAAAACCGGTTTCATACGTAAAAATAAAAATTTCTGCTTAAGACTCCGGCAGTTTCGTTTGGTTATTAACGTGTGTAAAAAACACACGCTAATAATCAAACGAAACGGCCGGATTCTTAATGGGTTATATGGCTATTAATTTGGATTACAGGTAGGCGATTAGGCCGCCATCTCGTGTTAAATTTGATTATTAGTAATAAGTAATAGAACATATTAAAGCGAATTACCACCCCCGAAATATTTTAGGTCCGTTTCGCTATAAAAAAATCGACAATTCCTTAAAATTTCAAAAAGTAATACAATGTTACTCCCGATTTGTCAGTAACAAAGCCTTTCGAACATCGTTTGTTGGATGGTGCAAATATCTTTTCTGCCATCTGGCGGAGAATTCCGAAAGTAGGCCGCCGAATTTTTTAAATTTAAATAAATATCAACAGCCAATAAAAAAGAATTTTAACAAAACATTTAAATTTTAATACACACATTTTGCCATTCAACTATTACAAAAACTATAAATGTTTAAAAATTTCACGTTTACAGGAGGACTAGATTTTAAAATTATCCGAATGTTTAAAATATGCCGCCGTAGAATTTTTTTCAGTCAGAATTTAAAACAGAATTATACAGATTGAGAGAGATTCTGTGCGCGTTATATTAAGGAAAACGTAAAGAAAAAACATCGCTTTTAATGTCATTTGTTTAAAGTCCAAAAAAAAAATCTCAACATTTATATAGGATCACTTCAGAAAATGCTTCCATCAAATACAGTATTTTACATTATTATTTACATTATTTAATCATCGGAGAAGCAAAAAATTGTCGTCGCCTGGCGGAATTTTTCGTGTTGGTCGTGTTCCTGAAATTAATAATAATTAACTGTATAATTTTTCTTCTAACAATTATCTTCAAAGTGCATTAATTCTTTACACAATAATAAAACAATTTAAACAGTAATTACAGAGATGTTTCTATTGTAATTTAATTTTTTGGAGCTAAAATAATGCTACTTGCTGGTGAACCATTTGGCATCCAGGAAGAATGGCACAATTGAGATACGGAGCAAGTTTTCTATAAATTTGGTCGACCGAATTTATCGAACTGCACCTGGACGATGCAGATGTTCCGAAATACTTAAATGGTGCGAGAGCCAGATTGCCCGTGTGCCGTCCTTGGGCTCGTCGAGTAAATGTTGGATGCAACATACATCCAGCATCGAGAACAAACTTTTGGTTCTCTTGCTACCTTAATCTATAGAAGTTTTCTAAGCAGGTTTGTTCTTCAAACATTAAAAAAAATTGATAATTAACCAAACGTAAATTGCTCTATCCTAAATCATTACATAATTTTGGCTTGTATGATGTCTTGCCTTTAGTCAAAATTATTGCTAAATTAAAGTTCATTTGTTTACTACATTTTGCAATAAACAAATACCACTACCCCTGCAACTATGCACATTTTTCAAGATAACTGTGAAAATTGTTTTGAAATTTGCAGACCCCAAGTGACGGCATAGAAGAAAACTGCACATTTGCTGAAGAGGTCACGCATGAATCAAACTTTGTTTTCTTAATGCAAAATATTGGAACGCAAGGATGAACGAATCACTTCCCCATAGTCCTAAACTTTATTGTTTTTGACGAAGTATAGTATCTGGCACGTAATGGGGAAACATAGTCTGGATTGACTAACCATTTTGCAGCTAAATTCCACATGGAGTATATCAGCATACAAACTAACTCAAGCCTACAATGATAAATTAAGAGTACCAGAATAATATTGAAATCTCTTTCATAGTGGTAGGCAGATGTGCCTTACTGCTTAACAATTTTAACCAAATTGTGCACAAGTCATAGGTAGGAAGGCCAGATATTTTATATATTCTAAAAATACAAAAACAGAGCTACTTTTATAATTTAAGCAAAGTCAAATGTTTTTGAATCAAATATTACTTGGAGGTCATAGTCCAAGTATCAGTCTTAAACAATAGTTCTATTGTAGAGAATTTAAATTACAAAATGCAGAATTATTGTATTACACTGTATAGTATATATTATGCAATTGAAATGCTCAGTATATTAACTCTCTGTAATAACTAACTGGTTAGGTTATCATGAAAAGTTAATGTAACTAAACGGCAAAAAGCAACAATATGCTTAATATATGCAAGACAAACCAACCTTGGAGTAAGAGGAGTTTTTCCGAAAACTCCCCGGGACTTCTTGGACATAGAATCGTGATTGCTTCCAGGCAGTGGACCAAGCATGCTTCCGGCTGGGACTAAAAAATAAAAGTTATTAGAAATCCAAGAAACCAAGGCTTTTATTAATTCTGCTGCAATATGTAACTTAAATGCAAAGTATTATATTCATTTTAATATATTTTTATTGTTGTTCTTATATGCAAGAGCAACAAAGTTTCTTTAAATTTATAATAAAATTAAAATTTTGATGACAATTATAAAAAAAGCTCACTGTTTCAATATCATTTGGTTTGAAAAAATGTTCAATTTATGTCAATGGGCAATGAAACAAATGAGCAAAGTGCTTTTTTCTAGTGATTGCTTTTGGATTTCATTAAAAAAGAATTTTTTAAAATATTGCATGACCAATTTTTTGATAACTAAGAATACAAAATACCTGGTCGACGTTCAGGTGTCTTGGGAACCGTAGAGAAAATGTTTTCATCCGGATAGTTAACAAAATTATTCCAGTAATCACTTGATATGGTTAGTAATCTTTCCATTACCTGTATAAAAATATATTTGATTTCTACTTAAAACTGATAAAATGTAAAAATTTATTATGTAATTAATAAAACTATAAAATTACATAAAAATAAAGTTAGCATATTTACAAGCCAGACAGTACAGTTTCTTTACTTTTATAGAACAGTAAGATTTATCTTATTTCCAAAGTTTTGTCTTCCCCTGAGACAAGCCCTGGACTGAAGAATATCATTCCAGTTATATGTCACCAGATAATATCTGAGCACAATGTCTACAGAAAAGGCAATGTAGCAATCAACTAATTAGGTTAGTATGCCTGTTGACCTATTCAATTTGCTTCAAACATTGAAACAAATTTTTCTTATACCAAATCTTATGAACTTTGTAAATATCACAGTGTAAATACTTTTATGACTTAGTTTAGCTTTGTTAATGTGGAGCACCAGTACATTACGAGCTACACATGTGATTTATTCATTCACGTAGATTTTTGTCTACATCCACAATGGACTACAAATAATGCCCTAACTCATTATCCACAATAAATTTTAAGAATTCATGTCAGAGGTATCAAGATTATTCACAATTTTATTAAAAACCGGTGAACATTGATTGTATAACACTATCAAAATACAGCCATCAACCAGTAAAATGACAACATAGTGGATATTCTACCAATAATGGAAACAAATTAATAAAAATTTGTATGTAAATTTTTTTTAAATGTTTACCTTGTGCTGTTTTTTAGTTTCTGTTATCATATCCATCATTGGAGGATCCGGAACGGAAAACCCCACAATCGTCGGTCCGAAAACCTTTGCCAAGTTGACTATCGGCATTTTACATTCGGGACTCTCAGCAACTCTACAGAAATAAATTATTTGAAGAGAGTACTTTAGATTAAATCATTCAAACTTACACATTCGAAAGAATTTTTAGAATGGACATAATCCCGTAAATTTAAGTTAAGTAAAAACGTGTTCTAAATAACTTACTTTTGAAGATGAAGAATGACGTAAGATAATGTATCCCTGTTTGGTCTCGGCAACTGACTGACTGCTTGGTATATACCACTCTGACTGTCTTCATTGTCTTTCATTTCTGTCAATGTTAAATTATTAATATTTACATAAACTATTAAACCATCAAGCATAAAACAGAGAATAAAATACCTGATGCATTAACAAAGTCGAGCCATGTACTTCTCGTTATCAATGGTTCTTGAAGAGTCCGTAAGAATTCTTTAATGGTACCACACACGACGTGAATGTCAGCTTTCGACTAAAATATTAAATGCTTTTGTTATTAAACAAGTTCATACTAAAATTTATACTAAGTAATTAAAAATTACCAGATTAGGCACTCCTTTCCCTCTCAAAAATTTCTCTTTTAATTCTCTTACTTCTCTGTCAGAACCAGAGACTCTATAAAGACCCACTTCGCTCATTCCTCTAGATTCTATTTCTTTAATACAATGCACTATCAGTGCGGGAACCATAGGAGGAACCATTGGCGTATAATCCGCTATCACACCCTAAAATTTTGTTTAAATATTTTGTAAGATCCATTTGTTTAAAATACACATAATTAAAATTAAAAAAAATACCATAGTTCCTTTATTGGTTGGTGTATGAGAGACGGGAACACATGGTAAAGGCACTTTATCCTTGCATTCTGGATGGCAAGTTGCCCTGCAGTCCTGACATTTCAGAGCCTGTTTGTAAAATTTGATTCGACGGCCACATGGCGAACAAGTTTCAGGACGGATGACTGTTTTTGTGCAAAATGCATGAGCTCTGTTGTTCAGTTTTCCGGCAGAACTGAAAGGACGAATGATTTTGCTAGAAGATATTGAAATAAGGTCAAAAATCAGAAAAATTCAATCTTTTATATATAACAAATATAGTTTAAAGTAACAGTAATATGTAACAAAATGCTACTGTAGTAGTATATAGTGTTACTATGCAAATTACCATAATTTTATGTGGACGAAACCTGTAGAATGTGAGCAAAATTATTGTTGAGTTTAAGTGGATAACACAATACATTGGGTGATCAGTTAACAAACAATCTGTTCCAAGACTTTGTTCGCTATCTGAATTGTCTGTTAACCGATTACCAATTTACCATAGGTTTTTATGGGAATATGATTATTTTATTAGTCATATTTTTTCCATTTGTGGGGGTTAAAGAATCTGTCTAATGTCGATTGCTTCTCTCTCTTCTTCAGGATTTTTCAGAAGTAATAGCATTGTAATTGTAGAGATCCCAAAGCCTATTAACCTCAACCTGGTTGGATGCCATTCTAAGACTGTTATTCTGACATCCTCCCACTTCTTCAAAAGATCTTTAATAGCAGATATTGGCATTAATCCTCTTTTTCAGAAGAAACCATATTTTGCCAAGTTTCTTGGTGTTCTTCATTTAAGAGTTCTTGGTGTCCTTCTGTCCTCAGATCAGTTTCCATTACGAGCTCTTCAATGTTCTTTATTTCTCAGATGTGATTTTTGTTACTTCTTAATCTGCTTGAGTCTTCTCGATTATACAATATCTTTCTTAGATAAGATTGAACTGCAGCCTACTGTAGACATGTTCAAGCTATACTGTCCAGCAACAGACATCATCTGCCCACTCTCTACCTTCGCTATTATACTCTCACCTTTTGAAAATAAATACAGATGCAAAATTTAATGAGTATCCACCCGACAGTCTTGCGAATACTATGAAAGAATTGTTTCTGTCAGAAAAATAAAAGACTGGAATTACAAGGGAGAGACTCAAAGTTCGGAGGAATACTATCTGATCAGCATATACTGGGTTGAGTGTCGATGTCAACATCTCCTGCACTCTGAAAAGTTTCGAATTGTTGCCTGAAAACAAGGGAAGACCAATCAGTATTCATTATTTTATGTCACTGCTTCTTGGGTTTGTCATGTTCGTTGTCTAAACCTAAAAGTCTTTCGCAAAAGTGTTCATTAACCGATCACCTACTGTACTTTTATTACTTGAGAAGCATTAAGACCAAACAAAAATATCAAGTTTCTTTCGAAAAGCCAACTTAAAACTCGTGCAACAAATCTTAAGGTTAACTGAACAAATGAACTCATTGTTATTGGAGAATTGATAACACATTTTATAATTAGTGTCCAATTTTAAACAACACTTACAAATTTGTGGCACTGTTGCTCAAATAAAAAGTAAAATTTTCGTTAAGTCCAACCCCATCCAAGATATGACACACAGGCTCCGTACCTTTCACCCAAGAGTTCAGTATGTCAATTTAATAGCATCAATGCCCCTCATACAAGTTACCATGTCACATTTTGTTTTAGTCTTTACCCTATCCTGAGTTAACTAAATAGATGCCAACACATTAAATTTTCTAGTTTATTGTGTTTAGGGGAGTCCCAGAACAGATTTGCAAAACAGTGAAGGTCAAATCTGACATGATTCCAATACTTTCCCTTGTTATGTTTACATCTATAGCTAGGAAAAAAGTGAATGAACAGAAATAATTAACCTTGATTACATTACATAAATTCAAATTAGTTTCATTAAATTATAGCCACAGCAATGAAATTACAGCCATTTCTAAATTAATCACCAATCTTTTAATGAATTAATAACAAAACCTAGTATTTTTATAAGCAACTTACTTTGTGATGGGAGTATTTAACACTGCAGGTTCATTCTGGAAAGGAGCAGAAGGTTTTCTAAAATGAGGAAGTTCTAGGGAATCTTGCTCTTTATCACTTTCTAAATTATAAAATAATAGTCTAATGAGTTTAAACTTGATATAAAAAGATACAAATTATAACTGAATGATTATTTTTCATATATTGATATTAGGGCTACTAAAAACAAGGAACTGACCTGACTTAGACGACGACTTGGATGTGTAGTTATTTTCCGACAGGGGAGTGGGTTCACTAATGAAACGCTTGGATCTCGTCACTCTACCGGTCGGAACGGTTTCGATTTTGGCCTTGGCTATTACGTCTCCAGATTGTGGAAATGAAACTGTAGTGGTAGCAATAAGCGATGTTTCTCCATTTATCACTTCTTCAATTTCCTGAAAACCCAACTTGAATTTAGTTGAAAATATAGAAGAAGAATTTTGAACAAAGTTCTAATTGCCATTCAATAGATTCAAAACAGGTTTAGCATTTATAAAAGATAAAATACCAACAATTCCCTTGAATGATGCTAAAGGAAATGCCATTTTGGCTTGTAGCAAAATTGACAGATTGAAAATCAAACTGATTTTCCTAAGCAAAATTAATTTTAAAATGTTAATCAATAGCATTTAATATTTTCCCCTCATATTTAGTTAATATTTAAAATTTAAAAAAAAGGTACAGAACATAAATAAGTGAATAAAATGAATCAAGCTATACTTTTCCTACACAATAATTCAGCACTATTCATGTAAGAAAAAAAATAGAAGACAGCAAAGGCAAACTCTTGCAAGGAAGTTACTATAAAAGGAACAATTTATTCCATATTTAAGTTGCCATGTGATTTTACATTAGTCTGATTATGCACAGTTCAACAGACATTTAGATATAAGCATGATATTAATCAACTAAATGGCATATCAGACCAATGCTAGTTGACATACATATCTATTACTACAGAAAATTCAATTAGAACATACATAACAGGATACGGCACAGAGTTCATAATGCACTCAGTGTCCACTTTCCAGAATGATATCCCTACATTTCTCTGGACACAACTAAAATGGTGCATGTAGTTTGCAATACAACATATTTTCTAGAAAAACAAACCCGAGCTGTGCAAAAAAGTTTAAAACTGATCTAAATATAAAATAAAAAATTGTTGTAGAAATCAATGTAAATTGACAACAATTAAAAATTCAATTGACACACAGTGCATGACCATTTACAACTAGCAATTGGGCCACTAACTACATGGCAAACTTTGACCTCAAATATCAGTCCACAGATCAAATTTCAAAATTTCAGCCTCAGCGTGAGCTTTCCAGATTGTATTTGCAAAAATCATGTTTAGTGATTGTGTGGTTGTTTAAGTACAGATACATTAGATCAGTGTTTCTCAACGGGGGCGATATCGCCCCCATGTGAACGTTTTTCCATGTTGAAGGGGCGATTAGTAACAATTTATATTTTGGGGGCGAAAAACGATTTTCTGGGCGATATAGTAAAACATTATATTAAGAATAATTATATATTTTATTCATTATATCGTACAATAATTGAACAAGTAACATTATACTAGTCACTAGTCTATTCAATGCAGATGAATTTAGTGTTAGGCTTGGTCCTTGACATCGGAATTTTGAAGTGAAGGGGGCAACACTACGTAACCGTTTTATTGAAGGGGGCGACGGTTCGTTAGAGGTTGAGAAATACTGCATTAGATTTAAATGAGGCATAAGATGGCATGACAACAATATTGGCCAATCATTCCAAAGTGGGAAATCTTCGTTAATGGCTAAATACAGGGTGTTTTTTTTTTTTAAACTGACGGTACTCACAGACATCTGCAGAGCAATCTAACAGCTGGACTTCTGCCAAATTTGGAAAAGTGACCAAGGACAACATGGGAAAGATTCCGTGAAGAAAAAAAGTAGTACCTAAATTTGCCGGTAGAGGTGGATTTGGCACTGTTGTAGCGAAACAGTTAAGAATTTGCATAAACCCAGCTGCAATTAAACACACGAATGAATAATCAGACAGAAGTGTCAGTGCAATAATGAAAGTTTAATTAATCAGAAAATAACCTTCTCCATCCTTCAATGTGACCACCATCCTGCTGGACAACACATTGCATCCTGAACACCGTGTTCTCTACGGCTGAATGTAACATGTCCGCAGGAATGATCACCACAGTTCGAGAAATGTTGTCCTTCAAGGTCATCAAGTTGGGGACACCACCAAGATAGACCTTGGACTTTAAGTAACCTCACAGGAAAAAGTCACATGGGGTAAGATCCGGGGAGCAAAGCGGCCATGCAAGTGGAAAAAAGCGACTGATGACCCTTTCTTTGGTAAAGTGCTGGCGCAATACATTTTGCACCGTGAGACCAATGTGTGGTGGTGCTCCATCCTGCGTAAAGATTGTCTCATCCAGGCATTGTCATTGCTGAAGTTGTGGAATGACAAAACTAGTCAGCATATTGAGATACCTTTCCTTAGTAACAGTACAGGTCTGTGGTCCTGTTCGAGTGATGTTCTCAAAAAGAATGGCCCGATGATAAAATCTGCTGTAAAGCCACACCAAACAGTGAGTTTTGGTGAATGCAATGGTATTTGCACAACCTCCTGGGTGTGTTCTGATGCCCAAATGTGACAATTTTGAGTGTTGACATCCCCATTTAGGTAAAAATGGACCTCATCTCCCCAGAGAATTGTCCACGGCCAAGCATCATCCACCTCCATTCTGGGAAGAAATGTCAACCGTGTAGCATGGTCGCTTGCAGGCAGCTTATCTTGTATGGATAGAACTTGAAGAACTTTTTGCAGAACTTGCCATACCGTCGAAGGCATCATTTCCAATTGTCATGCCACTCCCCAAGTGCTGCTACTACCAGCAATGTTTCCCTGTGAATTTTCAATGAGTGCAGTCGCAACATCACAAACTGTCTGTGCAGATACCAGTTTCCGCCCTCTACCAGGCCGAACTGCTAAGGATCATGTCTCTTCAAATTTTTTTATTAAGTCTTTCAATGCATTAATTGATAGAGGACCTCTGCACAGGTTGTTGTGTGTTCTAAACTCACAAAGAGCACCCGGTGTGTTTAATTGGTTAAGATGATAAAGTTTCACAAGCAATGCACGCTGAGGTAACGAAAGATGCATGTTGAACTCTGCTGACATCCAGAATGCACTTTGGACTTTTGTCCTTGTCTTTTAAGCTCAAATTAGGTGGCACTGCTGTCGACCACATCATTGTAAGTTTGGATTTTGAAGTGTTACCAGTGCGTTATGCAAATTCTTAGCTATTTCACTACAGCACCACCAAATCCACCCCTGCCGGCAAATTTGGGTACTACTTTTTCTTTGCGGAATCTCTTTCCCATGTCGTCATTAGTCACTTTCCCAAATTTGACAAAAGTCTGGCTGTTAGATTGCTCTACAGATGTGAGTACCATCAGTTAAAAAAAACCACCCTTTACATGTTTACTTAGCATACAAATATCATTTCTAAAAAGTAGTCAGTCACAGAATTGAATGAATTACAGGTAACCCCCGTATAACACAGTACTTCTATAGCACGGATTAATTCTAACATGGTTTGAGAACTGGGAACATCCCTGTATAACACGGTGCTTTTATAGCACGGATTCACATTAACACGATTCGAGAATTAGGTAAAACCCTCGTATAACATGAAATGTATAGATTTTCACATACTTAAGTGCATGAAAATAATAATTTTCGTTCACTATTTGTACTTATGTGAATTTTCTTTTTCGCCTTCTGTCGATACACAATCATTCTCGAAACTTGTTTCAGTGTTGCCAGATCTCAATGGTCCTAATTGTGTTGCCAGATGCTTTCCCTTATTCCATACTTGCTTTATTCTTCATACGTGCTTAGCAACCATATAAGGAAATTTATAAAGATCTTTTAACTAAAAGCAAGCAATCTAAAATAACATTTTTGCAAAAGGTAGAGCATGGATCTGAAGATAACACAGAAAAATGCTTACAGGATAAGGATATCTTGCCAAAAAGAAAATGCCCTCGGTTAATAGTGCATAGTGATGACAAAGAAAACATTGTTTAATTTATATTAATATATAGCTTAAGAAAATTTTAATAAAGATATTTATCTTAATTATGAAAATATAATAGCATGTTTTTTTAATTTTTGGAACCTAATCCCCCTTTTCGTACTAGTTCTTTGTTTCGTATAACACGGATGTGTTATACGAAATTCCTAGTTTATTCGCATAAACTAGGCAATTTTTTGGAACATAACTCCAGTGTTATACGGGGGTTACTGTAAATCTATCATTCATTAACCAAATACAATATAAAAACATGTATTTCTATATGAAGTTTAGAATTAACCTGAGATTTTCGTCTCTTGATTGAAGTTTCGTTATTGGTCGAACGACTGCTTCTTTTCCCTCTGGATCTTTGACTCCTTGGCCTGCAGTCGTCCTTAGAGTCCAGGTCGTCGTCTGTCTTGTCAAAACTCACATCGGACGGCGAAAGTACAGAACCACCAGATTCATCAATTGTTTGTAATCTGTTTTTAAAAGTATTCAACACAAAAATTTCTGCATTTGATTAAATCTTGTATTAGTTAATCATACAAACAAATACTATTATCTCCATCAGCATAATCCAGATAGAAGTATATAAATATAAGATTAATTTACATGTATTTTTTTTAGAAAAGAATAAATGCTGAAAAACTGCCAACTAATATTTCTATATATTAATTTCAGTATAGGATTATTCAATGAATAATATTTACATATAGATTGCAGAAAGACAAAGGTAACACAGATAAGTCCAATTTACACAAAGTATAAGCAACTAACATCTGTTGTGCCAAACAAACTCACTTTCAAGTGCTCCATTCTGTTTTGTTTAAATGACATTTTTTCATCTAGTGGCATGTGTATTGCATATAATAAACTAACAGCTGTAAATTCAGCAATATCAATTCAAGCATTATTCAGTGAATATAATGACAATGGCATATGCATTTAAAATGTCAAATGCATGCTAGACAAACTATTTGATATAAACTTATCAATAAGTTTACATAAAAATGAAAATCCGAAATTTTAAATGAACAAAAAAATTGAGATTGACGCTTACAAATATTCATTGAGTAGTTATGGAATAAATTTAAAAGTAATGAAATTTGTTGAAAATTAGGGTTATAAATGAGCAGTATGCTTCAATTGTATTAAATATTCACTTTTCTTTATGGAGCAAAATGAATAAAGTTAAGATTAAAGTACCAGCAATTTTCTTGAAAATTTATATTAAACTTCTCAATTACTTTCAGACAGCAAATAGAGAAGATTCAACCGTCAACAACACTGGTTTTAACACAATGTGATGTCGGCTGCACACGCTTTGTGAAAACCAAGCTTTATTCTGAGGAATTCAGATTCAAATCCCAATTGAAATTGAAGTTATCACAAATCAGAAATTTTGACCCAGAGGAATCAGACTCCATTCCAACTAACTGTCTTGAGTCAGAAAACACGAGTAAAAATGACTTCAGCCACAGTTTCCTATATGTTGATGCCTCATTAACAAAAACTCAATAGGTAATTTTAAATGTCATGTTATTCATGAAAAATCAGTTTTACTATAAAATACTTTTTGTTGGCTATCTGGCTTTATGATGTCAAATGTCTTGTGTAGAATGAAACATCAAATAATTAGTGTTTGTATTGTACAAAGTATTAAAAATACAGTAGAGCGTCGATTATCCGAAGGAATTCCAGTCGGCAAATTTAAATTTTCGCTAGTGCTGTGGTGTTGCAATCTTTGGCTATGTCTTGGGCTACTCAAATATTTTACGTTTTTGATACTAAATTAACTTCTGAAGTATTATTTTTTATTGTTTTTATATTTTTCAATATATTTTGTTAGTACAAAATAAAAAATAATTTTTAACGATACAATAGTCTTCGTTAGGCTTACCATAGACGAAAATTCAACGCAAAGCGTCACGCAACGGAGAAAAATTTCAACATTGGATACGTTAAACTATTTTTTCGTACATAATCGATTATCTGAAATATCAGTTATCCGAACAACCCCAGTCCCCAATTGATTCGGATAATAGACGCTCTACTGTATTAATTTAACACTTTATATAACATTTATCTTTGTTATTGTGTGATAAGTTCCCTCAAAATATTTTTGATCAATTGACAATGTAAAATGTTGGTGTGCTTTGTAGCATTTTAATTCTGCTTCCTTTGATGTGCCTATTATAGGTGGGCTGGACTGTAAAATTATGGATAATGGATAATACAAAATTTAATCTGACAAAAACTGAATGCTAAACTTAAAAATTTTTTTTAATATACTGAATATTTTGTTGTGCTTTAATTAATATAAATTAAATAAAATACCTTTTAGGAGAATCCTTATTTTTACTTGGATAATAAGTACTGTTGAGAAATGCCAACTTCTCTTTTGTTTGGTCATTCATAGCATTCTGATCAGCCAACAACACTTCTCTGATTAAAGAAATCTGTCTCTCCTACAAAATTATTTTTGTTAAACTATTAAATTTACTTAAATTTCAAATATTATCATAATTTTAATACAGTAGACTCTTGCTAATCCAGCATACCCTCCAATATGATTGTCTATGCATTTCACATCACATTCTGTTTCATTTGTGTACAGTATTGCATTTCAGTGCACCTGCCTCCAAAAAGAATTAGTCCCAAAGGGTGACAGATAGGTATCATTCATTGCCTTTATTTAGTCTTATGCACTCAATCTGACAATCATCTGCTCAAGAAATTGTCAAATTAACAAGAATCTACTTTATTACACATTAAAAAGGATTGCATATCATGTAATTAGTGAATTAGAATAAGATCTTTTAACTAGTATTAACTAGTAGATAATTTTATTGTGACATACATCAAATCATAGTTAGATAACCACAGTAATTTTCTAAATCCATTTATATATGGTGCATTCATAAAACTATGAATTTCTCCACCATTAATCTGACCATTATAATTATAAAAAAATACATTTTAGAAACAATGAATCAACATAAGAATTAAATCACGTGATAAATAACCTTTTAGCAGTGGGATAGTCAGGTATGGTGCTACCCCAAAGTAGTAGAGAATAAACATAGGAAATTTTTAAAGTATTTTTCCATGCGTTTTTTTCTCATTACCGTTTTGGAAAAAGATTTTGTAAACAGTTATGTCTAGTAAAGAAAAGTCTTTTTTTTTTATCATTATATAATTCATTTTTTATGTGATTTTTTTTGCAGTAGTTTTTGGCAATAGTCCCAAAAGAATTTAACGGATATATCCGTCCCTCACCATTGAGTGGTTAAGGAAACTTACATGAAAAATTCAGTCTGTCTTAACTCAAATGAACTTTATATTCAAGCTGAATGATCCTAAAGATTTCTTTAAATAGTTATAAAATAGAGCTCTTTAAACAATCTCAAACAACACAGACTGAACAATACCATCTTCCATTTGATTCTGCATTCAACTTGTGTCTTTTTATAGCTAGGTCTCATCTGAGGAGATTTTTGCTAAGGAATCAAACCATTCTAAGTTTCTACACTCAGTACTTACAACCAAGCACAGAGCCCAAGAACAGATATTTGATAATAAGTCCCTCTGACTGACCATTTATACTAATGTGATACCAACCCATGTCTATCATTGTTCCTACATGAAAGCAATGGTTGTTATCATCGTCCCTATAAGGGCATAATTGAATGAAGACATTACTGTTCAAATCAATTGCATCTAAGCCTAACATAAGACAAACTAATATATTAGTTATTCTACTTGGGTTCACGTTTAATGAGAGAGAGGGGTCAAGAACCTGACAAAATTAACCAAATTCCTAAATAATTTACTGTAAATCAAAGTTTATCTATTTGTAAAAGTATATAAAGTTTGTAGTTTTGCATAATTATACAAATATGTGAATTATTGAATTAGAATTTATTATACAGACTATAATAAGTATTAACTTTTCTGACAAATTTATAATAATTTTTTGTAAATTCTAGAAAATTATATTAAATTATCAAATTAAGTTTATTCAGATTAGAATTTAATATTAAATTTTGAAAATAGAACATGATCTCACCAAAATATTTCTATCATTTTCGGCTTTTGCTCGCTTTTTCATCTCAACTTCCAAACGATGTCTAAATATTCCAATATAAAGATAGTTTAGAAACAATTGAAATTAAATTTTATATTAATATAATTTTTTAAAAGTTAATATAATTACACCTCACGACCATCTTACATTGCATTATTATGTTAAGTTTACTTAAATTTTTAAGTATCATTTCTATAAGTTATCAGTATGTTTAGAACTTATAACAAGAATGTTTCATTCTTGCTATAAGTTCTAAACATTAATTGCTATAATGTTTCAATTTAACTATAATGTAGCAACTTATTTATTATGTTTCATTTACGTTCATTGTCCTATAATGAACTTAGTTAAATAAAACATTCCTCAGTTCAAGAAACATGTTATTTCACATTCAAAGTTATTAAAAAGCAATCTATTAAATGAAAATATTTATAAAATCAAACTTGTAGGCTCTCAATTATCCAGGATGCCACTTTTTCAGGCCAAGAGGAGAGAAATGAAAATAAACTGAACACTTGAGTGTTCGGTATTAAGAATGACCAAATAATGTAGGTTGTGTGCATTGTTATATTATAAATTTTGAAACATCAACAGATTTACTTGGTATAAAATTTAAATACTATAGTCATTTGCGTAACATTTTCCATGTTCATCTGAATAAATAGGGTACTGCAACATTTTTTGAATTAATAATTTATTGCTAAATTCAATAATCTTGCACTAAGGAAATCGTCATGCAATAGCTAGACACTTAAAAACCAACAGAAATACATTTATTTATAATGGTGTTTAATAACAAGAAAGAACAAGTATGTACCTTTTCTCTGTCACCAAATACAAACTATCTCCTACTTTTTAAGACACTACATCCACCATAAACAAAATATATTCCTTCTCAATACTGATTTTAATCACAAAATTATTTCAGGCATTAGATTTCTGAAAACATGTTGAATTTGTTTGCAAATAATTACCTTATAATTAAACTTAATCCAAAACATCTAAAAAATGTTTTTGTTACCTTAACTTAGCCACGTGTTTAAACATTAATTAAACTTTTGATTAACTAACACAAAGTGTGTTTTTATTTCAACACTTGGCAATACCGTGTATCACCAAGTGTTGAAATACACTGTGCTAGTGACTCAAAGAAATAAGACAACACAGTTTCAGAAGATTTAAAATTAATTAAACTTATATATAGGATAGTTTATTAACCAATTAAATATTACACATTTTAGATTGCTGTGACAATAACAGGGTTTTCCAAAAAGAATTCTGCCATTTTAAATTATTGTAATTATGTTATGTTATCCAAGAATGTCGTAATGTACATCAAAACATTGAAAACCGTCCAATTTTCACATTTACCCATTACAATTTGCACATATACAACCGATACACATTCTTCTTACACTTGTGACAGCATATCCATTTCCACTACTTCTACAGCAGTCAAATTTCTATGGCTGCTGCACCCCCATAGTTGTATTCTGTAGATTACTCATGTTGTATACTATTGAATGATTCTAACTTTGCAAACTAAAGAACAAAAACAGCCTTCTCTGTTGTGAAGTTGTCACTTACGTTTATGGCACTTCCTAAGAATAGTAGATATTTGAATGCAGATGCATGATGATACTTGGACAGTTACTATATCAATTGATGTACATCGCATAAACAATTTTCTATTTATGTAAATTGAAAGTAGGAGAGAACATTGTTCATAAATGTATGTATAATATTGTGTAATGTATGTATATATATCTATATGTAAGTAAATAGTAATAAGTTTGTTGTAACTATGAAGAAAGCTTCAACAACAAATATATTTATGTTTGGTCTTCCATTCCATAAATCTACTTGAGAAATTTCTGATTTTCATTTTGGAAAAACATTATATTGATTGATATTGTACATTCTGGTACAAAAACTTTAATAGATTATATAAGTAACCAGACCTGCTATGTATGCAAAGTAATTACAAATTGTGCTAGTATAATGATAGATTATTGAAGAAAATACTTTCTTGATAACATAGCAGTGGCACACAGTGTGTGTATATTTTATTGTAAGTACTAGTACAAATTATCTAAATAAAAACTAATATGTGGAGTTTTGTATTATAGACATGTTTCACTGAATATGCATGAAATGCACATATGGTAAAATAAAACCTGAATAAACTGGAAACTGCCTACATAAAATAAACTTTGAAACAAAGCTCTCTCTATGTTAAATTTTTCTATAAGCCAGATATTTACCTGTCCACTGTGGAAATAAATTAGGTTTTTTGATACAGAAAAAGTTTATCTGAATGAAGCAGTCTTAATATTAATAAATCTTAATTTTTCTTGTAGAAAAAAAAAATTAAGATCTTCCACTTGTGGAGGAATTAATAAATTTACAACAGGTATAATGATTACCTCAGAGGTGATCATTACACCTGTTCATGTGGTGAGAGAATCTAAGGACATAAGGTATTTGTTAATATTAGTCTTTGTTGGAATTAAACAGGAATAGTAAATCTTTTCAAGAATTGAGGACTTTCACAATTGTAAAGTTTCCAAGAATCAAGTTGAGGATAAACATTAAGTGCAATTTGTTGAAAATAATAGGATAAAATAGCACAGTATCACCAATTTTCCCCGTACAGAATATTTAACAAGTTTATTCCAATTGTAGGTAATTGGAGACTGAAGAAAAGTATTACTTAGAGTATTAAAACTCCCTGAGAAGTCAGATCACAGAACAACTTGATCACTATTACTGTAGGGCAGTGTTTTTCAACCAGTGGGTTGCAACCCCTGGGGGTCACAGGCAAAAGAAAAAGATAAGTGTTTGTAGGTCCTAGACTACAACAAAAAAAACTAGAATTTCAGTGAGAAGGCTGTGCCTGTTTATTTTACAGTACAATTAGTTTTTCAATCAATATTTAAAGAAAGAAAATTAAATACATAGTTTTTAAATCACTGATATAGTTTTAATATGGCCCTGGGGGGGGTCGCTGGAATTTTTTAACTTGTAAAGGGGGCATGTATTCACGAAGGTTGAAAAACACTGCTGTAGGGTAATTTGAAATTTCATGGCCAAAGGATACATTACTTCTTGATACTTAAGATAGCAGAGAACAAGCTAATTCATCAGCTCAAATTTCACACCTAAAGTACTTGAATACCTATCACAAGTTCATGGAAACACTGAAAACTTAAGAATCAAATAGTTCTCAATTTTTACATTTAAGTATTCTCATCTTTTAGTTGTGACCACCAAATTGATTTAAACCTAGTAATAAAGATTTTACATATGAAAAATGGGACACACATTAAAAAAATGAACATGCGACATTTGGTATGGTTAAAAAAAAGTACTAATACTAAAACCCATTCAAACAAACCTGTCAAAATTTTAAAAAATTTAGATCAGTGCAATTCCAGTTTACACAGGTTTTACTGTATAAATAATTTTTCAGACTGATAATTGATAATGCATCAATCACTTTGATCATTGATACTAAATACTCCAATTGATACCAATCAAATTAATAAGAGCAAATGTTTTTAAATATAATTAATTCATGAGAATAATTGAAATGCCATCCAATGAATGGAGATATCAATTTGAATCACTTCTATTTCCTTCAGAGTAATCAGATTTGGTTATAAATTGCAACTTGAAATACAAAGCTGTAATGTAGCAACCAAAAATCCATTATTATTTACTTGCAGAAAAATCTGTTGTTACTATTATGTTCCTACTACTTCAAATTTTTGTTCATATGTCAGGGAAAAAGCAGATATTAAGACAGCTCTAGAAGCACAAATGCTTATAGAAGTTGCACACCCCCTAGATTCATGCTACAAAGGAAAGCAAAGAACTGATGTTAAGTTAGTTGTTGTTCAAATAGTTAACTCAAGGATATGTTAACATCTAGAAATTCTTAGCATAAGTGACAAAACCTGATTATAATAATAAAGTTTTCAAATCTACACTTGATAGGTTAATATTCAACACTAAAAAGTATAAATTATGTATTACCTTGCATGCTTAAGTTTTGTCTCAAGACCTCCAATTTCGGCTTTGGCTTTAGATAATTGTTTCTGTAATTCCATAATTTCTATTTCTGCCACTTTCTTATCACTTTCATAATTTTCAAATTTTTTGAGAAATTTTATTAAGTCTGAAAATAAAATTTCAGGTAAGATACCACAAAACACGTGATATTTACTGCGACCAATATACATACCCGATTCCAGGCCTTCTGTCAATACGGAAGTATATCGACACAGGTCGTCGTACTGTGCCAACAGAGACAACTTTGCGCCTCCGGGTGCCATTTCAGGAAAATTTTATATCCAACTCCAAGTATCTAAAGAAAGGAAAAAGCCAAAAATATTAATCACGTGTGTACATTTTTCTAAATGCAAACAGTTCTCAATTTGCAATATCTTAATCTCCTTCTTGTGACTTTTCTTCCAACTAAACTTCATTTTCACACAAACTAAGTTATGAACAGTCACAAACAAAACCTTTCTACCAGTGATGAATTTAAACTTTCAAATGTTTTCAGCCTTCATCAAGGCCTGTTTCAGCTGCTGAACTCTTGTTCATCTCTCATACCAGTGTTTCTGAGAAGTCCGTTATTGCAAACTAAGTTATCTGTCAGTTATGTTTTTATCAGAAAATGGACAGGGTAGATGGATAGCTCCCCATCTTTAAAGAACGCATCTTATTTGTATTAGAAATGTATACAATAATAAAACTAAACCAAGAAAACATATTTAATGTTGGAGTCAAGTTTCCTTTGTAGGCTACTAGGCTACATTCTCCAATATAAAAATATAAAGGGAAGGCATGCTCCATTCAAATAAGTCAATTCTAAACAAATATTTACTTACTGCATTTAAGTCAGTGTTAAAAGAATTTTGTTTTTTTGTGTTGTCTTCATATTTTAATTTAAAATATTGATATTTGTATAATTGCTATACTATATAGTCATCTTTATAGTTAAGCCTAAGTACAAACTAGCCAAATATTGTAGCAAACTTATCAGATGCAAAGTTCAACTAAATTTATGTTACTATTGTAGGTTTGACCATTTACCATGCATTCATCAATTCAACACCACTCCTATCTTTGACACAAAACAATGAGTCCCTTGGATGACTTGGATCCAACATTTTGGATTTTTTGTGCAGTGGTCACAAGACTAAATCCTAGCTTGTAGCCAAAACAAGTGGCTCGAGTATTTTACCGTACACAACTGGTGCACAGTGAAATACTCAAGTCACTTATTTCAGTACAAGCTGATATCTTCAGTTGAAAAGTTTGATGTTACTAAATGTATAAAAAAATTAATAATTTCATTAAATTACTGGTGCACAGTGAAATACTCAAGTCACTTATTTCAGTACAAGCTGATATCTTCAGTTGAAAAGTTTGATGTTACTAATTCTATAAAAAAATTAATAATTTTATCCTTTGAACTTTAAAGATATTTCAGACTTAAATTTTTTCCTGTATGCATAGTTTAGTGGACATCTTTTATGTAGGATATCTCAAACAGAATACATAGAATAACCATCCCATCTTTATTTTAACAATCTTGTTGATTCTTGTTGATGCAATCATAAATTAAGCTTCTAAACATACTTCCTCAGACTACTGTAAAGATCTCTTATCTTATTTATTATTGATATATGATATTTAAAACTAAGGTCGGGCGTAACATATTTTACCTGCTTTTTCAGAATATCAATTCAGCAAGTAAGATTTCATCTACCATTATTTTAATATTTTTCAAAACTAAAAAAATGCATATAAAAACTGTTTTTAATGAAAAAGTTATTTCTTAACATATGCTTGTCAAAGAAATACCCAAAAGTAATTTCTCTATTTAATAAAGGTTACATAAAAAGAATTGCTCCTATGGAAATTCATAGACTTATATCTACTAACCAGAATTAGAAAATAACTGAGAAAAGGGAAGAAAATATAAAATTGTTTCTCTCATCTTTTATATTAACATATTTCATGATTTACTGAATTGAGACAAAATTAATTCAAACATAAAATAATTATAACTGACCAAAGCTGATAAACAGGCAAACAAAATTAACTATACAGTTTGATTTTACAGTCTGAATTTAAATTTATAAACNTGTTACTAAATGTATAAAAAAATTAATAATTTCATTAAATTATTAGTGTTATATATTTTATACTTTCAAAGAAATTTTACATGTTAATAATTAATTCATTGTCAATAAAAAAAGTTGTCTGAGTACAAAGCTATAAGTAATGCATCATGACCATTGATTTTCATCTGTAAACAAATTCTTTCAAGCAATAGTTCGTAGAAGGTTAAAGAAAATAAAAAACCAACAATCACAATCAACATCATCCATAGAATATAGTCATGTGATTACAGAAATTTGATATGTCAAAAGTGATGACATCAACTAGTTCATACTTAGAAATAACGACCTTTTAACTTTGATCAGTTACTGTGTTTCTACATATACAAGAGTAGCCGGTCTTATAGATTGCAATATATATATACTGTAGTACCAATTTTGCCCAAGTACTTAAAGAAAAAAACTCATTATTTCAAAAAAATAGTTCTAGTATAAGAACTTTATTTTTAATAATATCAGAAATGTCATTGATAAGTTACTGAATCCGTACATTTACTTTGACATAGCAAAGCAGTATGGCTACAGTACCCTCTATGTTGATGCTGGCGTGCAGTTTTTAGGCTGCAAGGCTTTACTTAAAGAGCAGACTTAGCCCTATAAGAAATGGAAGGAAGAGGAAAGGAATGAGAAACCAAGTGTGAAATGAAAGAAAATAGGAAAGTGTGAAAGAAGATATGAGAGCTTATGGCAATTGCTTCAGTAGTTGCTAGAGTACAAGATACTATACAAAATTACAAAACAAGGTTACAGTATAAATCAAACAAATATACAAACAAAGTGCCTTTTTGGCAATGATGAACACACAAATTTACATAGTTGAGTACATTAGAGACTGAATGAAGGTATAACATCTTATAAAAGCGGGATGACAAAAGGCCAGCGAGCCACCAAAAACCACCATACTGATGCAGTCAACGAGCTGATGTTGCAGCCGTTGTATTTGTTGTCATTATTGATGTCACTAATGCTGTTGCTGCTGATATTGTTGTTGTTACTGATGATGTTGCTGCCGCTGTTGTTGTTGCAACTTGGTGTGGTTGATTAGTTCTAGCTGAGAACAGTCCACGATTCTTGGTGAAAGTTTCAAAGGTGTGGTAAGTTTCCTTAGAACAGAAGAAATCTAGGCTGGGTGGCCAGTTTTGGCCATTTTGAATGGTGAGACAGTATAGCGGCTGGCAGGTGGAGTCATGCTTTGGATAGTCCAGGAGAGCATGATAAATATTGCGCACAGATTGACAGTTGCAGTCGCAAGTAGCGTTGTCCCTTACTTTGAATCTGCTGAGGTAACTTGGTAGGTTGCCGTGGCTGGTGAAGCATTGCGTCATAATATAGTTAACGTTTATATAGGTTATGTGTTGCCTTTTTTTTTGATGGAAGGGGAGGCTGCAAGGATGTAGTTCCACAAAGGTTCTAAAAGAAAACCCGAGTGTAGCTCATCAAAAATTGAGTGCCACCATGAATAGCTAAGTGTAGAAGTTAGTGCTAAGTGGCTGTTAGAAGGAAGACCTATCTACTTAATACTAATAAAACTGAATGCAATCACAAATCTTAATACTACTTAACAACTAGACAGACAATGTGAAAAGCAAATAAACACACGACAAATTAGATGAGATGAACGGACTGACAGACAAATCAGCAATACCCCAAATTTTTTTTATTTTATTTTTTCAAACATTAACTTACTCACTAACTAAACTAACCTATCATAACTTAGGAGATGATGTATAGAAAAGGAGTTCAAAATTTTGTCCATGTTATTCACATAACAGAAGAAAGTCTAGAGAGCTATGATTTTAGCTCTCTAGATTTTTTCTTCTAGACAAGATGCCCTCTATAGTCTGTTGACTCTTAGAAGTCCCCAGACTATAGGCACATCTTGTTCAAATCAACTGTCCCTGAAACTAAAATTTAACAAATACAAAATGTATACATAGTACGATGGGGAACACATTTATAAGAAGCCACAGTATTGAATTTACAAGTTAAAATGAATACATATTCTGGTTCTTAATTCTGTAAATTATAATAACGACATTAAAGTAACAATTATAAAAAAATTCCTAAAAAACCTTCATTGACAGATGATCAGTAACTAGGAAATGGACACTTAAGTACAGAGGAAGTGCAAAGGTTTTATAATCTATCAACTATCAAAAGAAATTCAAATTATTATTTTTATTATATATATATATAAAAATACATCTTTTACTGTTAAGCTAAAAGGGCTTCAATTTATAATTTATTGATAAATATGTTAAATAGAAACTAGTTATAGAAAAACCACAAAATCAAGTTGTAACACATTCATTATTTTACTTTGATCATATTTTAAGTGAAGTTATCAGACAAATACATATAAAATATTTGATTTCCCATTTAAATCTAAAAATTATTAATGAGAAAGAATTAAAAAAGTAATCATCCCATTGAAATTTGATAAACATCTGTCCCAAGTTCAGATATATTCTGGTAGCAGAATTTATCTATATCCCTTAATCAGTATTAATAATGTGAAAAGATAAAATATAAAATTATGATGATGATTGACTAAAATATAACATTTAATATAATAAAAAAAAATTGTTAATTATAAATATGCAGAAATGTATAAAATAAATGAAACTTAAGGCAATATTTACGAGGCAAACGAAGAGACTAGAGACATAATTCGAGTAGAATACATTACATGAAAACTTACAAAAAAAATACTTAAGAAGATATTTCTTCAATATTGTTTCCTACACAACAGACGTTCATAAAATTTTCTGTAATATGAGCGTAAGTCATGCGATGCTATTGATAACCAATAACATTACATGCAAGATTTTTTAACTGAAGAATTGAAGTTAAAATTGTTTTCTTATGTAAAGTTTTTAAATATAAAGTGTGAAATTAAACTATGAATTTTATTTATTGTCATATTTAGTTATACATATAACTAAATATGTAAATTACCATATTTAAAAATATTTAATTTAAAGTGAATTCAATACAAATTCAAACTTGTGAATTATAATATTTTAATTATGAAACATCAAGTTTACTTTAAAATAACTAAAAATGTTACAATTTAAAGAGAAAATAAAAAGGAATTCAAATTAGACGATTTTCGGTTATTTATCAATAGGAATTCATCACAAAATAGATAACTTTTAATAATTTTGATACAAACAATACAATAACTCTTTAAACAGAAGCTCAAATTATCATACATATAACTAACACCTTATTCTTGCTGAGAGAAATATAATTTATTTGAAACAAACGTTTTCAGCCTGATTCACAGGCCATCCTCAGGTTTAGAACAAATTTGAATTAAAGGTTCCATTAATAAAATTCAAAATTAAAAAAGCAACGGAATAAGATAAAAATAAAAGTAAAATATTAAATAACCAACAGTTCTAAACCTGAGGATGGCCTGTGAATCAGGTTTCAAATAAATTATATTTCTCTCAGCAAGAATAAGGTGTTAGTTATATGTATAGTTTTTTGCTGAGTACTTTATGATATTATTGCTCAAATCATTGTTGAAACATTTGACAATTATTAATATTAACAAACTTCTATATTAAATAAATCACCATAAAGCATTAACATTTCAGTTAATTAAACTTAATTAAATGAAATGCTTAGATTCTACACACTTCATTAAAGTTTAATTGAAATTCCACATGAAATATCGAGCATTAACTGGAATTCGTGAGATATTCTAAAGCAATTAACACATTTTCTTTCATTAATATTCCGTTTCAAGTTAAATTATTATCGAAAACCCTAATAAAATTTATGAAAAATTAAAATTTGACATTTCTCCTTAAATATAATTAAAATATAAAAAATAAGCCTTTTTATTACCTTTCAAATTCAAAAACCTGGATTTTGAACATAAACTACATTAACTCAAACTGACTTATCGAAGCAAATTTCAAAATTTGAATTTCTAGTGTTAGGATCTCGTGACGTTTGAACTAGCCAATAACGTTAAACGAACATCGCCCCCTCTCGGACAAAGTCAAAATGTTTAAAAAATATATATTTTTAAACATTTAAACAACTTTTTAATTTTTTTGTTGCTTTAATTTTTAATTTTATGCATTAATGCGATATTAAAATACAGTTATTAATATAAAATACTTCTGCAATAATTTTGGTAATAATTTAATAAACTGGAGTATTAATTAAAAGCCATAGATATCGTCCGATGGGCAAAATATCCTGTTTTGATTCACTGTACTGTGTTTGTGAATAAAATTTATTGAATTATTTTCTATCATTTTTAAAAAATTTTACAAAAAACATTTCGTAATAACCCCGTCAGCTAGTACGGTCGGATAGCCGTGCGGTTAAGATGCCAACCTGCCGCTCTTGGGGACCGGAATCGAATCCGGATGAATCGAACAAACTTAAGGAATTTCGACCCATTCATCAAAATTCTTCTTGGGCAACCGTCGCGGATATGTCATGCTCCGTCCCTCACAACTCATGAGCCTGGAGGGATCCACAATTGGCCTACTAAAACGGCTTCTTAGTACCTATAGGGCGGAAAGAGTTAAAAAGAAGTTTAAATCAAAATTTTAAGATGGCTGATGAAATTGTTGCCCAAACCGCAGTTTTAAAACCTGACAAGGAAATATATGCAATAAATTATGTTATTGAAGCGTATAAAAAGTACACAAATGCTTCTTGAACGGCTTTTGATCAGATAGTCGTTCAAGAAACATTCGTGTGAGACAGTAATGCGAAACTTGATGCGTAATGAAGACATGGAATAAATGTAATATTCATTATCATTTTGGTAATTATTTCTTATTCGACAGCTCAATAAAAGATCATTCGAAAAGAAACGAAATTCGTTCTAAACGCGTCATAATCTCTCTAGTGGAAACGCGTTCGTTTCTTACATCGTTTCTCAGTGAGTGATTTAAATATATCCTGTAAAAAATTCAGTTTCTGTCTCTATATTGGCATTTTCTGTCGATAGACGTAAAGAAAAAATTCATATTTGCATCATTTGGACAATGAGTGGTCACAGACTATCCTTTAGAACGATGAGGTTACTCCCCGCAAATTAGCAGTATTACATTCTTACTAAAAGTATTTGAAATTCTCAAATGGAGATACGAAAATATATTAAACTTATCGAAGATTATCTTAAGGATGAGATTACATCACAGCACTTCTTACCAATTAGAGTCTTCCTTTTTCTGAAACCATTTAATGTAAATGACCTATCATAAACATTAAAGATTTATTATTAAACTAAGTGTTATGAAGTAGCTCTATATGTGGAGAAGGAAAAACAACACACAAACCCACAAAGGTTTGCTTATTATAATAATGATTAAAATATTCTAATAATGAATTAGATGAAATCTATCATTCTTTGTCGACCTGATAGAATTCAATTTGAGTTCGAGTTAAAACTTCGTTTTCTATTCCTCCACGCGTCATTGTATTCAGTGTGCGATTTGTAAAATTTCTAGAGAAGAACAATCACTGAGTTTATTCCAAGAATCCCGAGTTTTCCTAGTTTTATTTACGTGTCTATCGCCTAAATAGGGGGTCAGTTTTGCATAGAAAGTACGCCCGAGAGGCGATCTTCCAAGGAATCTCTTCTTGGAAGATCGCCCACGTGTTGCATGACCGTATCCCATCAAACATAGATCTAAACACAAGCAGTATGTTTATCTTAAGTATTTCTAAACATTGCTGTCCAGTCGTAACCACGGCAATAGATAAGCGGTAGGTAATAAAGCGAAAGAAAAGATTGGTATTGAAAAACAAAACAAAATGGCTTGCTAATCGTATGTACTTTGAGCAATGTTTTAAAGAAAATTTGTATAATTTTGACGTAAATATGATTACATAGTTACACTTATAAATCAACTTTATAGTTTGTGTAAAGTCAATCTTTAAAATTTTCGTTACCCACGAATTTTATGACAGAGGAAAGAGGAAGCTTTCCCTGATAGGGACGTTTCAATTCCTGCAAGACCGGAATATGGAAGGTAAGAAAGGAAATCTCCTTTTTCAAATCGCATCCAGTGAAAGTCAGATCTAAAACGAACACCTATTGAAATCAAACGATTTTAAGAATTTGAATGGCCCGAAACAAATCAAACTGTTCATTTTTCCATTTTTATCTCTTTCCTACCTGTGGATAGTAAGAAGGCCTTAATTTCCATACCCGAGCAACGAGACCCGACATATTCGGGATCAGATTACCCCCCCCAAAAAATTCCTGGAGTTTTTCGACCCACGTGTATTTGATTCCAAATTCCCACAGAATTAGGCCGATGCTTTAACTGCCTAGGCCACTATGTCCTTATTTAGATATTACACACGCGAAAGAAAACCTAGTAAACGCCACGCGGTCTGGCGCGAACCCACGACCGGTATTCAGTGTCGTGGTTTCGCGCCGGTTTCAGTACGCACTCGGACTTATTGATGTTATTCATTTTACATAAATTATTTTACAATATTGCATACATCTACATTTAAATTAATTTACTAATAATATGGCATTTGGAATATAAAATTTCATCGAAAATCAACCAAGCCTAGAAACTTTTTACTTTAACTTTTCTAGGAAAAATTTACGCACTTTTATGTTTTAATATTAAATTTTGTCAAATATTTAGCTTATAGGCAATAGGTTTCTCTGAAATAAGGTTTCTAATGTAACAAGCAGCAGAAAGTTGTAGAAAGCAAATATATTGAATTATATAAAAGAAAGATTGCAGGAAACTTTGGGGATAAATTGAAAAGTTGTCATGGAAATAACATTTCTAACATTCTTTTAAGATCTGAAACTTTAACGCAGCTACTTTATATTATTTCCAACTTAAAAACATAAAATTTCATTTAATTTAATTATAGAAAGTAGTGTATATAACTTAATTCAATTGTCAAGAAAATAACATATGATTAAATTATGTCTTATTCTTCTTTCTATTCTTTCTAAATAATTACGTAACGTGCTTTTGTTTGTTCTATTCCTATTTTCAAAATAGACAAATATTTTTATTATGTAAATAAAAACTTTATTTTCTTGATTTTGTTTCTTATTTTCATTATTGAATTAAGAATAAGAATTTTAAAAACTGTGGCTAAATATTATTTTATCTAAAGAATTACATACCTTGATTTTAATTATTAGTTAGTATATTTGTAAAAATATTTCACATTTATACAAATAAATAAAAACTTTATTTTCATTACTCGGCCTTATATGAATCCCTACCTCTATGAAAAAATCNCCCGGAAACATTTAAAATTTTGATTACGCCATCTGTTAACATATTCTATTAAAAATAATTTTTATATTTTTAACTATTATAAAATGGCAAACAGATTAATTTTGAGGGTAGAAATGGGTTTTATAAAAAATTGTAAATGCTAATAACGAGTGAAATCGTTATTAAGTCTGACACTACTGGAGATACACACGATCGCCTTTATCTCCTCACTCCGTCGACTTATAACCACTAAAATTTAACAGCATTAATCCCACCAATAAACAAACATCCCTGCAAAATTTTAGAAAGTTTCAACAAAAAATACAGGAGTTATTAAGCTTCAAAGGGGGTAAACAAAATTGTGTTCCCCACACACTAACATCCATACATACAGAAATTACTCCCGAATTTTTTCTTTCTTTTTTGCATTCCTTGACGTTTTAAAGTGTCCTAAGTGCAAGAATATAAAAATCTTGGGGGTCATTTTTTGACCGATTGCCATACTTTCCCTTTGTTATACATAACAACCGGAAAAGTAATAGGAGAAGATAACAGGCATTTATAAGTAATTTTGTATTAAATTATGTTTATTTTAATAATATACAACAAAATTACTTAAATATTTATTAAAATAACTAAATTAGATAGAAAATATTTTATTAAATTAGTAATAAATCCGAGTATTTCTATAAGAATAAGAGAAAAATAATGTTAAAGCGGCGTATCTAAAAATATATTTAATTGGATTAGATTGATTTATAACTTAAAACACTTTTGTAGGTTTTAATAATAATTAACCTTTTTTTTTTATTTGATTACATTATACTGTATTTATTCATTTTTAAAATTGAGTAGTTAAAACACTAATCTAGACATCAATTAAGTTAATAATTTCTTATGTAAAGAATAATTAACTGTTATATTTTAATTTTTATAAATAAATTTATATAATTAAATTACTTTAACAGCTGTAAATCTTTATAACATGTTAAAAATGCTACAATTTTTAGGCTAATTACAATATAGAAACGATTTTTGCCCCTGTAAAGCGTGCTTTGCAACTAAGCGAATAGCACTTGCAGGAAAGAATACACTATTAAAGTTTTAATATATTTTATTAAAAATAGAATTGTGTTAGTAACAGATATAAATTATTGAAATTTTTATAATTTTTAAGTTATAAAATAGATTATTAGACCAAATTATATAACATTAGCTCATTCTGAAAAGTCATGCCTGCAGCAATACTTACAGAAATAAAGAATAAGAAAACTTACTTGCAGATAAAGTATTTTCTTCTTATATTTTTGATATTGATGGAGATAAATTTTTGAAAATTAATATATAAAGAGCTGTAGAATCTATAAGTAAAAGCTATCTACAGTATAATAGTAATGCTGTGGTATTAACAGCAGTAAATCGAGTAATCCTCCAAAATATAATTGTAAATTGTATAAAAATTATAACAAAAAATGTATCATTTTTCTTAAATTCTGAAAATAAATAACCATAAATCACTGTATAATAAAGTTTAAATTTAAAATTTCAATTATTCTTATTAATTTAAAACAATAATTTATTGAACAAAAAATTAATGTATTTATAATCTAAACATTTAAAATAATTTAAGAAAATTTTCTCAATTTTTAAATTAAAATAATAAACTAAACTATAATAGAAACAATAATAATTGGCGGTTCTCTGCAAAATATGTAATAAGTTATAACAAGTTTTAAAACGTTAATAAAGTGT